AAATTGATATTCATGTCAACACCGAAGTGCTGACTACTGGGCTGGTGATACCCTCGGAGACGAAACGTCCACCAGCAGTGGCATCGACCAAGTGGTGTAAATAGTTATCAAAGTTACCAGGCTTATAATTTGATACGCCAGACGCGCGTTTCGTCTACATAAGACTCATATAACTCTTTTCAAAAATTTTTGATCAGCACTGATTTTCGAACTCGTCAAAGACATTGCTGATATAAACCTATGATTTAAATTTTCGAAAATTCTTGCAAGAATTGTACACATGAGACCGCTAACAATGCAATTTTCCATATAATTAATCGTTCCAAGGGGCACAACTATTTGAAAACAATTAATCGACACTGATTTTCTTTATAGTAATATCCATATTTTCCAAGCAAAGACTTTCAACTGATTTTTTTTTATATTCGTCACTGAACACTTTTTATAATTAGTGTTCACCTGTTGGTTTATATACATACCTTTAGTATAATGTTAATCCTATTATTTTTACTCACCTTTCACCAACAAGAATAACAATTATTTCACGAATACAAATTTATAAGACAAAAATAAGAATAAATATATATTAATCTTTAATATGTACGATCAATATGTGTTCAGGTAAATTGGCGCAAATGAGTTCCGAATATTGGCGTAATTGATACATTTGAAAAAAAAATTGGCGCAAATGATACCCCTGAAGCACAATAATTGGCGCAAAAGGACTGCTGCCTTAATATTGGCAATTTTTGTAGTGGGATATAATCACGAAACCTTATTTTAGGTAGCAGTGATCTTGCACTTTGACCCCAAATCAATAGGCTTATTTTTCTTCCCAATATCTTTCATATGTATAAACATTACATGGGAAACTCAAGTTACCATACGAAATGTTTTTAACTAATGTTTTCTCTTTTATTTAGGTAACAGTGACCTTGGAGCTACTGACCCCATCATTCCCATTTCTTATATAGTCTATCTTTATAAGTTTCATTCCAATCAAATAAGGGAAACTGTAGTCCAAATAAATATGACATCTAGAAACACTATTTCTTATTCTTTGCTGTTACGATTCCTACGTGTTTAACAAAAAATATCAAAAAAGCCGTACAAAACGTCATAATTACTTGGACTAGGGAAACTCGAGTTGCCATATTAGTAAGGGACCTTTCACCTATTGACCCCTTACATCAATAGTATTCTTTTCCTTTCCTTAATCTTTTTAATGAGTGACCTTGACCTTTGACATATAAAATATCAATATAAACGGACTTCTTCCCCTTCCCTATTTCTCCCCTCTAGTTGTATTCCAATCAAGCAAAGAATACTGAAGTTATAATCTAGAAACCAAGAACGAAAGAAAGACAGGTGGTGACTATATGCTCCCAAATTTTTTTAAGGTAGCATGAAAAGGCACAAGTTGTAACTCCTTCAGGGTTTGTTTGGCCATTCTTTTATACCTCTTTTAATATGGCTTTTAAAGTATTAATCACTTTGGTTGGCCCAACACGACGACGACGATGGTGATGAATAGTAGCCATGTTTTTCCTTTGGGCAAAATAAAATCTTGATTTTTTTTGGGAACATTATCCAAATATTATACATCCATATGAAATATGGAATTTTATCAGGGCATTATCCATTGTCGCTTGTATCAGCTATAAAGATAATAAATTAAGTTAAAGAACTGAAAGTTTGAGGATGGATAGAATGATTAGGTAAAATACTGACAACTATTCTTTCTGTTTACCGTTTTTATTTTCTTTAGTTTTTGCCCAAAACACAAATAACGGTAAAAAAATATCAATTAAGGCAATCACTCCTATAAAGAGTAAACCAACAATTTCAGCAAAATTTTATTTATTTGTAGATCTGGTCTGGCTGATAATTTTTGCTATTTAAAGTGTCTATCTCTCTTTCATAGTTTACAAGATAGTAGGCAAAAACGTAAAATATTGGTAAAAGATCATCATTAAAAAGCAAGTACTCCTACAAGGAGTCGACTGATGATTTCCCCTATTTGACTTATTTGTAGATCAGAGTCTTGCTGATCATTTTTGCTTAAATATGTTTCTATCTATCTATTATAGTTTTTTCAGATATTAGGCAAAAAACACAAAAAATGGTAAAAATCATTATCAAAGGGCAATAACTCCAAAAAGGGGTCGTCAGACGATTTCAAGACAGTAAACTCATTTGTAGATCTTGTCTTCCTGATCACTTTTGCTTATTTAAGTTTCTATCTATCTATAATAGTTTTTCAGATATTAGACAAAAACGCCAAAAATTGATAAAAATCGTCGTTAAATGGCAATAAGGAGTCATCTGATGATTTCGACCATGTGGACTCGTTTGTACATCTTGTCTTGTTGATCATTCTTTGAATATAAAGTTTCTCCCATCTTTATATTTTTTCAGATATTAGGCAAACATGAAAAAATTGCTAAAATTTGTCATTTAAGGGCAATAACTCCTGTAAGAAGTCATCTGACAGTTTTGAAGCATGTAGACAATGTGTAGATCTCATCATTCTGATCATTTCTGCACTGTCAGATTTTCTCTATTCATAGCTGTTTTCCAGATAATAGACAAAACTTGCATTTTACCCCTATGTTCTATATTTAGCCATGTCGCCCATGTTGGTTGGCAGGCGGGGTCAACGGACACATTTTTAGGCTTCATACCCTAATGATGATTGTGGCCAAGTTTGGTTAAGTTGATCCTTTAGTGTCATAGAAGATTTTTGTAAAAGTTAACAACGGACGACGACAAACGCCAAGTGATGAGAAAAGCTGGTCACTAAATATTGGTCGTCTAACAGGAATACATTCATATATGTCAGGTGGTGTATATATTTTACAATGAATCACCCATAAAATACTACTTTTTTAAACTGTGAAAAAAACCCTTGTTAAAATATTGCATACAGTGTTTACTGTAAATTCAGAAATTATTGTGTACATTTGTTATTGCAATTCTTCAAGAATGGACAAAAATGCGAGAATAATTATAGCGAAATTCAGAAAATCTTCATCAGATTAATGTATCAGATATCAGAATATGAGTTCTCATTACTGCTATACTTACTCAGTTGTATTATTTGCATTACAGCCAAAAGTTATTATTAGGTTAGGTATACTACCCTCCTGTCAAAGAGGTCTAGTCCTACAGACAGATAGATTGGTTATCTGTCGGACTAGTCTACTCTCAAAGAAGGGTAGTATACCTTACCTAATAATGACTTCATGGTTCCTCTAGCAAGCAAGCTAACCAGAGATTTTGTTTGAAACTACACAGTCAAGTCCGATGACTGTAATAAAAACCTGGCACTAATTTCTGAATTTACAGTAACTATGTCTTCTTCTTGCATTAAATAAGGGCATATCAACATATTTTCTTTATGGGATAAGGCAATTAATACACAGACAAGTTCCTTTTGAGAATCATTTTAATTCATGATCCATGTGTACAACTATTATTTTCAGATGTACATGCAACAAAATCATACTCTTTTAATCTGTAACAGATCTTTAGTTTCTGTCAACAAAACACATATCCAAAATAAAACATATTTGTAAATTCTTACTTATTGAATATCTAATTTTGTTTTAACTATATAAAAAAATAAACAAATGTATATAATTCTTTGTGTTATAAAACAAGTACCTTCCAAACTCAATTTTTTATTGCTTACCAACACTGCACTGAAGATGGATGATCAAAATCTCAAAATTTTTCCCTCTAAAATTAGAAAAATTACCCAAAAAATTGGATGCTGGATCAGTGGATAAAATTATATATCCGACCCTATAAATTTTTTTAATCAATTCTTGCTATGACTTTATTTTAATTTGTCAAGAAATTTACAGAACACTTATAATAACATTTGACCTGGTGAAACTTTTCGACTTGTTGTGTCCTTTTTATTTATCATAAAATTATTCAGTAATGAATTATCTGTTGATAGCTGCATCTATTACACTTGAAACAGTATATTAAATCAAGACATTTTCTAAAGAAAACAAAACAAGATACAGTTTTAAAGTGGTAAGTTTTTATCAATATTTATGTTTAATTCCTTTGTAAATACATCCCCCTTTATATATATTTTTTACAACCAAAACCATGTTTGTTTTCACCCAATATCCTTGCAAATGATAAAATCTGTTTCAATTATTTTCATATACCAGTATTGTAAGTTTAGGAGTTTTAGTGCGGTTTTATTTTTCCCAGTGTTGAATAAAATTCTTTCTTTTTAAGTCCAGGAAATGCTTCATACAAATAATGTTGTAGAAATTTAAAATGTGAGTTCTTATTTTTTGCACTATTTTCCAATAGCAAACATTTCTGAATTTTATGTAATCATATTTAAAGATTTGATAAGTAATTCAATATTGCTCAGTTCAGATACTTGATACTGGTGACTTTGCCTTAAGGTTACCTGAGTTCCACATGAACAATTTTGGTTTCAACACAAGACATTATTTCTTGATAAAATAATAGGTTAACACCAATATGGTTTTACTTGTAAATATATGTAAATAATCAAATATTTAAAAAAGTTAAATGAATTTTTAGTAAAATTTACCACATACAACTTTTTTTTGGGGAAAAAGTTTTTTTTTAGAAATAAAACATCTATTATGGGATATCTATAGTGAAGACCCACATAATTATATTATATAATTCATTAATTATTTCAAGAAAAAAATAGCCATACATACTCTTATATTATAATGACACAATATACAATTGAAAATTAAGCAATGGGCATGTGAATATTATTGTGAAATGTAATATTTACACATTGAATAGTGAAAGACTATTAATTTTTTACTCATTATTGTCATAAATCTTAGAAAAGAACATTTTAGTTCGATAACTATACCTATCTAAGAGCTGTTCCAGATTTTGATGTGTTTGTTGCTGTAGGAGGGGAGAGGATTGGGAAGCAATTTTTTATAATTCCATCCACATACAATATATTTTTTTTCTACATGTAATTCTATATGATTCTTTAAGCTATTGTCCAAGAAAAATACAACAACCCATCTAATCTTTAATTAAAATGTCCTGACCTCCCCACACATTCAATTACGGAACAACCCTAAACTGAAAATGAGCAACAATACAAATAGATATTGTTGTAGACAGAACACTTGATTTTCCTTTTTGTTAAATCCTATTTGCATATTCACACTACACAAAATGTTACACTAAATAAGAAATGAACACAAAGCCTGAAATGAATTATTAAAACTATCATACTCCCTCCATTTTCATTCCGTTTATACTGTCTAAAATATTACATAATATAACAATTTATAGGGTAGAGCCTTTTAATACTTTACCACCAATGTAAAAAAAACATAGATATTGGTATCTATTAGACCAAGTATGAAATACATGATAAATAATTATAATTAACAAATTAGGAATCATAGCACTGAACTAATAATCACAGATTTATATATCCAAGACCACTTAATAAGATTGAAAAAATGCCATAACACGGAGTTACTTGTTGAACTGACATCCCTGGGTATGTATTCAAAATATTGTTCATCTGATGAAGAAAATAAAAGGGTAAGCCGTCAAATAAATATTAATAGGCCAGAATAATAATATTCTTTGATTTTCAATCCTTAACAAACCCATTTTCCTCCCATTAAAAATACTTTTATATAAATCAATTCTACATTTAAAATAGATCATCAAAAAAACTAAATACCTGCCAAATTAAAATTTTGGGGATAATAATAGGATGAGAATTTAGAATTTTAATAAAATTTATCATGTTTCCTCTTTTTCTTTCTTCATTTTATTCAAGAAATGAAGTGCAATCATTTCATTACAAATTTTATTAAAGAAAGCAACTGAAAATGTGTCTAAACAAACAATTCAGAAGGAGTGGATGTATTCAAAATATGGATGATGATGTCTATGGTAGAATTTTATCGAGATTCATTTCTGTTTGACCTAAGTTATAAAAATCTTTGTATAATCTTTGAGACAATAGAGCAATCTATATAGAAAAATAAGCCTATACAGTCATGATATCTTCTTTAGGACTTTATCGGTTTCAAGGGTAATTTGCATAATTATAAAAGGGTTATGGAAATTTGAAAATTAATCTTTACTGTTGCTGAAAGTACCAATAACATATGTCAACAGATTTTTCATGAGTTGTAAATATTCAATTTGAAATGTAATCAAAGTAATTTAAAGGATGATATAAGAAGCTATGCCTGTCAAATGGTCTTGGAATAAAAGAAAAAAAAAACAAAGATAAATGCAAAAGAAAAAAAAACAGTCATCAGCACTAGACTTGTTTCTCTAATTATCACAATATAAACAAATCTCTTAATATATTGTACTACAAAAATTCATAAGGCAAGTTATAGTTTTAAAAACAACATGAAAAATTCAAAATGGTATCCTTATATAAAAATCAATCATATTACTATATGCTCTGATTAATATGTTGTCTTAGTCCTCTTGGAAAATAGCTTTTTTTACTTTTTTTGTTCTTAGTTTTATGTTAGGAACCATTGTACTTGTATCCTTCAATGGGACATTTTTTTTTATAAACAAGGTCCAATTTTCCTGGCCTCTTCCCGATAGACTTACGATTTTGAATTATTCTGGTCATTTTTTTTCTCTCTCTGATTTTGTTCAATGTTCAATTACAAAAAAAAAGATAGAGGAAAGGACTTTTTTAAATGTGTCAAATACAAAAATTTGAGGTTGCAAAATTTGAATTTAAGATTTTTTTCACTAGACCAGTGAATATCTTTAAGTACAAAAGTGATGAAACAAGCTTATTTATTTGTTCATATAGAACATGTTTGAAAATAAAACATATTTGACAAGAAAAAAATCTGAGAAACCAATAGTTGTTTTGGCTCCTCTCACATTCCTCACTAGAGGTGTTCCTATCTAATTTCTGTCTAATAAAATAAATACAATTCAATATTTTTCAATATATATAAATATATTTATTTAAAGGATGTGCAACATGATGAAACTAACATTGAAAATAAATTATTGTACAAATTTGTTTCTTTATACCATTATATAATTATGTATAGCTATAATTCTAAGTGTACATTTGTAATAAGCACAATGAAATAATGTAAAAATATCGGGACTGTGCAAAACAGAAAGGGCAGTAAAACTGGTCATAACAAATATAAAATGACTGTTAAAAAGGTTTGTAAATCTGCTCCTGGCATTTTTGATACAAATAACTTTGCACTTCATACAAAAAATTCTCTTTTTCTTTCAAAAACATCTAAATAAAACATAAGACTTCATAATCAAAACAATTCTAAAATTTACGCACCCTGAAACATTTCAACAGGAATATGTCAACAATAGGTTTTGACCAATATATTTCTGTAGTGAGAAATAACTGAGAATTTATTTAATAATTCTGCTGTTTAGAGAAGTGCAAAAATTTGAAAATTAAAAAAATCTATTGAAAACTACATGTTAGCTGTTAAAGGGAGACAAATCAGAGTTTTTCCTCAAGCTGTCTAAATATTCTTGTTGGGACTGCGCAAGAACTTGTGCAAGGATGTCATCTTCATCCCAGTCTTGATATCCTGAAAAATATTTATTTTTTTCATTAAAATACAAAAATGTACAGTAAGATTCTGGCTATTGTCAATCATTGAATGAATATATGTTGTGTTTACCATGGCGACACTGACTTAGTTTGTTGTCGGTTATGAAAACCTCTCTTTTAATTTCACATGTTTCTAGATGTTAAAATTATACTTGTTCTGAAAGAAATAATGTTGAAGAAACCTGAATAAGAGAGTAGTTGGATTGACATGTATAAGAAAGCAGTAAGAGAAACATGAATAAGAAAGCACAGTTGGAGAAACATGAATAAGAAAGCAGTTGGAGAAACATGAATAAGAAAGCAGATGGAGAAACATAAATAAGAAACCAGTTGGAGAAACATGAATAAGAAACCAGTTGGAGAAACATGAATAAGAAAGCAATCTAACAAAAAATTAACATTCAAAGAAGCTTCTAAAATGAGGGGACCTTAAATGATTAAGTTGACTCTTAATTTAAAGTGCAGTTTGGTCTTTTATTGCTGGAGGTAACAAAGAAAGGCTGATTGCTTATGACACTAGGTGAACCCCACCAGCTATTTATCATATTTGTACCTTCTCAGGTATCTCATCAATGATCATTACAAAAGTTGTTAATGAATTCAACAGACACTTATCAGCCATCAACACCTAATTTCAAAATGAATAATAACCTTTAATTAGATTCCTGACTAGGTAAAAGTATATAAATATCCAGTGGGAATCAACTACAGTCAAACCTGCTATAAAGGTCACCTCTATTCAATGAAAACCTGCCTTGTCAGGTCACCCTCTTCATGTCCCACTATAGAAATACTGTTGCATTTTAAACATCAATTCAAAGGTCAAACCTGGTAAAAGTTCAGTTTTATCTGGTCCAAAGGGAGACCTTTATATTATCCAGGTTTGACTGTTATTTTTTAAAGCAATCAACCCTCCACTGTCACCTCCAACCCAAAAGAACAGATGGCATTTTAAAATACAATAGTCAACTTAATCATTTAGAACCCTTAATTTAGAAGATACCTTGTGAGCAGCAACCCTCTATCAAAAAAATTCTTGTAGGAAACAAGCTCTGGAATGCTATACCAACTTGGAGATTTGTAGAAAATTTTTCTTGACATTAATTGTGATTCTGGTAAAATATTTTTTTCTGCTGACTCCCACCGAGTTATTCCGAAAATATACAGTAAAAGAAATCAAAATTGTTAAAAACCTATATCCAATCAAGAAAGTGCCATAACAGTTATATATATACTTGAACTAAACAGGGAAAAGATATTAGCACTTATAGCAATGTCTATACTAACCACTCAGCAGTGAAGACTGGTGATTCATCAAAGAACTGGTTTCATCAAAGCTAAAAACACCACCAACAGCTCCCTGGGGTATAGAAACTGTGGCTTCCATAGCTTCTACTTCAGGATGTGCTTTTGGTGAACCTTGAAACAACAAAGTTATAAATTATAGAAATTGTGTACATTATTACCTTTTGATTATGACTTGTTTAAAATATAAGTTCTATGTGTGAGACAGCTGAGTATCAAAATGGTAGATTATTAGACTTAAAACTTTGCTTTCACCGGAAATTGATTCCCTGCTGTTTTACACAGAGAAAGCATAACAACTTCAATACCCACTGATTTGTTTTGGTTCTATTTATGGGAGACTCTATCAAATTTAACATGATTATAACTGTAGCATGCAAATTACTTCTAGAAACAAGTTTTATAAGGGACCCATTTGCAATTAAACTTACCTGTTCGTCCTTGTTCGCTAAGTTTTGGAGAATGATGTTCAGGAATATCAACCTGTTGTGGGCTGTTTTGTTGTGAATTAGGGTTACTACGGTTACGAGGAGATCTTCCCATCCTCCCTTCAGAAGAGCTAGGTTTATCACTGTACATTAAATCACAGGATGAACTACAGGTAGCACTTGGTAAACAACTGGTACATGTAGCACTTGCTGATCTTGTCTAAAATACAATAAAACACATTTTCAAAATTTTCTTAAGATGTACTCTATATGTGATAGAAATATAAGTTCATACACGTGTGTTACATATAAATATTTGCCACAGATTTGTCTGTGTCAATATCAATCAAGTCTATACACCTTATAGATTTTTGTCCATTATTTTGGGAAATAAATGTACAGATCAACAGAATGTTTTAACTGCATTGTGATATACATGTAGAAGTATCTAATTCACACAGTTTCAAAGTAGATGATATCTCCAAGAAATTTTTTATGGAACCTACAGGGTCAATTTCAAAATCTTTTATAATTTGTTCAATTGAATAGCAATATCTTTTCAAATGAAAATTAAACAATGCAATAGAAATAACATTTACCCAAACAATAAGGTAACACCTATTGTTTTATTTAAATGTCATTTTTTGCCAGTTTCTTACAGAAGTATGAGATTTTGCCCTATTTTGATTGTCCATCAACCACTGGAGATAAGACTCTCTTGCCACCTGTTCTTCTATGGTTTCTTGGGTAACTTCCCAGTCTGTTTCTTTCAGTTTATCTTCTAACATACACTGAAAATATTAAAAAAATATATCAACCTTTTATACACATACATTTTGTATTACTATTTGCACTGTCACACTGTGTGTAAAGAGCAGCCATTGTTAAAAGACAAATCTGAAACTGCTGTCTGGCTATCATTCAAAGAACATAAAACATAAGCATCATCAAAACATATAAACAAAGATTTGTCACAAGTCTGTATGTAATACTTTGTCCTTTCTCTTTTTTCCCTCAGTAACTCTACTAACAACACATATCGACTAACAAACTAACAAACCAATGTACACAGCTGATAGTACATAACAGAAAATAGTCAAACCTTACAAATTACACAGGAATTTTTGACTTACCATTGTGCTATCTGATTTTTTATAAATGTGGTGCTGTAGTTTTAGGGAAATAATGTTTTTTTCAATTCCCATGGTGCTATTTGAAAATACTGAAAGTACTCACTGTTACTCCAACATCGCCATCAATTCATATTTATTGACTGTTTTTTTATTAAAACAGAAGTTATCTTATACAGTACATACAATGTAACCTATATGAAGACCATACCTTTTCTATATGAGTGTTTTCAGACTGTTGTACAGCATCACCCATAAGATTTTTCTCAGCTAACTGTGAACAGAAATTAAGACAAGATGAAATTATAATATTTAAAATAAATTTGACTGTTATCAGCAAATGTTTGCTTAACTAGTTGAGCTAGTATAATAAACAGCTGCGCCAACAGCAAAAGATATGACCGCTGTATATATATCAAATTTGAATAAAATGAAACATTGTAAAAAGCATGAGAATTAAAAAAAAATAAATAAATGGGGAATGTGTCCATGGGACACATTTGATGCTCTCGCTTGCATATCATATAAAGTTATAAAGGGACATAACGGAAGAACGATAAAAGTGACACTACCCTTTGTGTTTGTGTTTGATTTGAGTTTTGTGGTAATAAGTATTGTGTATAAGTTTCATAACATTTGGTTGAGGCAAACATATGTTTGAGAACAGAAACAAAAAGTCAGCAATTTTTCCATTTGTAAAAGGGCATAACTCGACAGTTAATGCGACACCAGTCACACCACCAAAATTCAAACTTGATCTGTGTTTTGTGGTAATAAGGTTTGTGAACAAGTTTCATAACATTTGGTTGATGCAAATTAAAATTAGAGAACGGAAACCAACTTTGGGACGTACGTACGTACAGAAGGACAGACGTACAGACTGACAAGGGTAAAACTTAATGCCCCCTACGCCACAACAGTCCTGCTATCCAAAAATTTTCTGAAAAGAAAAGGTGAATACTTTCACCAATCCATTCAACAGTTTAAAGTTTGAAGTAAATGATTTAAGCATACTCAAACTATGTGTATGACTATGTGAAAAATTGTCTGATGTCTGACAAATTGACAAATAAAGTCATAAAAATGGAATGACAAATCTAAATATGTTCAAAAGGGAGCTTACTTTTTTACAAATCATTACAACATAAAGTTTGAAGTAATTTGATACCAGCATACTCTAGTTAGTATGGACATGAGCAAAATTGCCTCAAAATCTGAATGTTAAAGTCCTATAACTATATGATTTTTTTAAACTTTCAATTTCACAAGGTACATGTAGCTTACTTCTACCCATCCAAATTTAATAACCAATATTATAAAACATATCCATCTTTTTCATCATACAATGTTTATATCCTTACTATTTATACATACCCCTGGTTGAAATCCTGGTAGACCAAGACCAACACCAATGGTAGCTTTATATGGATCCGTTATTGAGTTATAGTGTGTATTCTGATGATAACTTATTCTAATCGGTTCATTATCTGTTTTGTAGGAACAGCTGAATGTATTTATTGGTTCTGTAATAGAAAATTGAACAAATACAGAAGGAAAAATAAAGAAAAGCTTTTAGTCAATTTATTAAAATATAACTTTGAGATTTGTTTTTACAGCTGAGAATCCTTGATTTCAATATTTGACTTCATTGGATATTATAAAACTCTTTTTATTATGGACAAACCAAATACATAAATAAAAATTAAAAAAAACCTGTTATGATTGGTTTGTTTCTTCATATTATATATTGTATATCGGTCTTGGTTCATTTCTTGCAAATTGAGTCATTTCTGCTTTTAACTGTTTGTTTCTTTACTTTATACAGTGTGCTTGACATTTTAAAAATTATTCATATACCTCTGCATAGTGTCCTGGTTTTTATTGTTGGTGTATTGTTTATTTTTATGGAAGTGTATACAAATTTCCATCTAAATGACATCGAATGACTCCTATATTTTGCAGGCAAGTCAACTAGTATTCGGTGACGTCTAACAAATTCTACTTGCAATTCAAATGAAGGCAATAACTGTGCAAAAAAAGGAAAATATTTGCCTTCCATTTCATTCCAGCAGACAAAATAATTCAATTGCAGCTTATTTTGAAAATAATTTATTGCTACCTTTTTGTTGTCAAATTTTAGTGTTTAACACAATCTAATAGTAAGCCTATCATATCGTCTAAGCAATATTGTTAAAAACAGGATATTGAAAATTAGCACTGTGCAAAGAGTTAACTTTGTTGGAAGTCTACTGACTCTCTTTAATAGCACCTTTCCAATTACCAAATTTGTTCCAAAATTTAAAAAAAATTTCAAACAGAAACAATTCATAGGTAGGAAAAACAATTTCCTTGCTTTTGCAAAATATTTTAAAATTGGAAACGATGCCGGTAATTGGAAAAAGGACTATTTAATATATAATTACAGTACAAACCTAGACTATATTGATAAACTTCAATAGATCTATTGAATAATTCACATATTGCTTGCATTTCTACATGATTCCCATGACAATTATCAAGTCTTTTACGATTTAGATATGTTGTAAAGTCCTCTGTGACATAGTGTGAAAAATAATCAGCATTCTTTGCCTGTAATAAAAATGTTATACACATTTGTAGGGATCACAAAAGACACCTTTTCCCCTAGTTCAGTATACATAACATTAATCAGGAACCTTCAAAAAGACTTGGAATCTTTTGTGTAGAAAATCTTATCTAAAGTTACTGGATTTAGCTAAATGTATTTCAATTAATTAATAACTAACCCATGAATTTGAATGTTTAAAAATATTTATAATGCATACACCTTTTATGGTTTTAAATTCAAGAGGCTAAAAAAGTGGCCTTATCATACCTTTTCCTTTGCAGTCCAACCTGCCATTATTTTTTGTATTAAAACCCTCAACACAAACAAACAATTATATGACAATTCAAACAACTATATAATACTGTTTGAGCATCCATATAATATTCAATTTAAAACTTCACAAAAGATTTAGGTCATCTTTAGATTTTTTATCAATTGTATGGCACTTTCAGTTTTAACTCTAGAATTATCAAAATTAGTTTGAATGAAAGGTAAAACATGACATATATCAATGAGACAGAAACTCAGTGACACAATTAACCAAAAAATATTTACTTACCATATAATCAACACAATTTTTTCTGACAGCTCCATGCATTTCTTGGTCACCATAAATCTGGTCAGCTTTAACAAAATAGTGAATTATTAGACATGTTAGTAGAGTTTATTATAGTACTTAACAAATGCTGTAGCAATTGCAAGCATAGTCAAAATGTGATAATTGTAAAACTATTCAATTCAAACAGTGAAAATATCTCATAAAAACAGATAATAGATTTATTACTGGTATGGTTGTGAACCATTTACAGCGTGAATTTGAAATTTGAACAGAGAAATGAATAATAATTATGATTTTAAAGTTATTTTTATAACATTTATGGTACATGTGTCATCTTCAAGATTTCATGATCCAGTCTACAAGTTTTAAAATTATATATGTAAACAATCAGTTGACATGCAGTTATTTGTGCATTGGTCAGCAGCCATGGTCACTGACATTTTTTTTTTGGGTTAACTGATCTTGAATTTGTGGGCCACTACTTTCAGATTTGGCAGCTAGGGCAAATTTTGGGTATTAAACCCTCCCTAGTTGTTTCCTATTCTTTGAAATTGTAAACAAATTCTGTTACAAAATGTTACTAACCAACTGCCCTGAATAAACATGCTCCATCTTCTCCCATCTTCTTTATAACAAATCCTTTCTGTTCTTTTAATGAAGTTTCAAACCAACTTTCAAGCTAAATTATATAAAATTGTTATGTAAAATATAATAAAATTACAGTTTAATGATTATCTAGTAATTTAGAATTTTTAACCACAGTTATTTGAAGTTCCACAACATGTAAATCTTGGATCATTAATGTAATACATTCTCCGTAATTCCATATCAATGAGCTGCTTCCTGGATTAATTAAGCCTTTTTAATTCTAATAGCTTGTCAATTTTAATCTTAGGTTAAAAAAATTGTAATTACGGGTCAATTTGGTTTGTCTGAGACATCCTGAGCTTTGATTTTTTTTCAATGAGAAAACTGAAAGGTATGCAATAAAAAAAAAATTTAAACACAATATGCATTACGATTGTAACTTGTTTGCATCAACAAAAGAAACAAATTTCATAATTAATTAACAGGTTCAAAAAGGGATAGAACAAAGTCAATTGAAGCATTGCATTATGATTTACACAAAATATGACCAAGTTCTCAAATTTTGATGTCTTGATCCTTTCCTGAAATTTCCAACATAAAAAGATTCACCGTTCTCCCAATGGCCTTTTACCATCATGGTAATGTGATGCTATATTGCTTGAATGTAAATACTAATGCTATCTGAGATTATTATGTTATAGATTGTGTTATGGATGTGATGCTATAATTTCTAGAAATAAGATGGTATTTTAAAATTCCCCGTTTATCAGGATGCTTTATGAAGTTTGTGGGGAGAACACTGAGATTATAGTACAATGTTCTGTACTAAGTTTGCCAGAAGTGATTCACACCTGGGCTGCTCCATTACCAGTAAGAGACGACTTTCAAATTTCTACATTTTCCTTTAATTTTTACTTCCAATACATGATCTTCCAATTGTCATGATTGTCATGATTGTTACTTTTTCCCAGAAAAATTTGATGTCACAAAACATATATCTATACTTCACAATGTCCTACATGTATGATGTGTTTCCCCTCTCCCAAATGACCCTAGGTCAACTTGGACATTTAATTTATGAAATTGAAATTGGAATCTCCTATATGTCACATTGCTCACATTTTATAATCACATTAAAATTTTTTTGTTCAAATACATCATTTACCAATAAGTCTTAGGGTCAACCAGATTTACCCATTTATTATAAAGAAATTGGACTAAGGTGCAATATCATAACAATCACCATGTTCATGATAAACTAGTGGACAAAACTCGTCAAAAGCATGACAAGGTTACATTATCATTTCTAGAATTGGACGAAGTATAGTGCTATCATAATAATAAGGGAAAGTAACAAAATAGCAATATAGTGCCATCTTCCCCAAAAGTTCACTGTAAGAAGATTGATTGGTCAAGTTTCTGTTATGACAACAGACACATCAATTTTTACAATATTAAAAACTTGCACACCTCTTCTATATTATCTGGACACTTTGGTGGTACATATTCATCATCACTATTATGTCCAGTAATTGTTTCTTCATACTCATTTGCCTGTGAAGAGGATGAAGCTGCATGTGGTGTTGATCTTTGGTGATTATGTAGTCTGTGTTTTCTTACACTTCTATGGGGCGATGACCTGTGACGCCTCTTATTGCTGTTTGAAGCATCAAACCCTTCGTAAGATCCGCCTGGATCTTGCCCAGGTAGAAGTTCGTCCCGTGAAGTGGACGGCAACCATCTTGTTGGCGAATTTCTGCCCCGACTTGGTTTTTCGTGTCGGTTTTCGCTGGTTGTATGTGAATGACCCAGTGATGAATGGTCAGTAGTTTCCGTTTCATTTTTATCTTTATTTGGCTTTTTCTTCGGTAAAATAGTCATTGTTCAGTGCAATATATATCTGTGTAACTAAATTTTATTTCACTATTTATTGGTTTTCCCTTTAATTCCCGTAATTATCAAAATTATATTGCCCTTCGTCTAAGTTGCATATTGACAATGGCGTCTGGTACGTGACGTCATGCGTAATATTTTGGTTTTCAACTATTTCCGGTAAACTGGTCTATCATATTTCCAGAAAAGAATATTTTATCAGAAGTCGCCAGCAAGTATCTTTATTCAACTAAAAGGTAAAATTGTGCTAATAGTAAGTCTAACTCAAATAAAATAAAATAGCGAAACCTGTGTCATTAATTGATATAAAACGTTAATTTTCAGTCAGTTTGATGGTAAAAAGTATTAATAATAATACAGAACTTCGAGGTAAATTCAAAAATGGGAACGTGAGTCCATAAAACCAGACAAAATCAAACGCTCGGCTATATCAACCAACGGAATGAATGATGGTCAAGCATGAAGATACATTTTTATTGATTAATAATGTTTAAAACCTTTTTCTAGATTTGAACTCAACCAAAGTTGGTCTGCTTGTAAGTTTGATTTTGAACAATATAATTTGATTTTAATGACTTATTTTAATTTTTTTATATTGGAACAAAAATGTGTCTGTAAATATAAACCTGAGATATTAAATATATATTTTTTTCATATTCAGTAATCTTCTTCCGCTATTGTCGCTGTAGAAATTATAAAATTGAGAATGGAAATGGGAAATATGTCAAAGAGACAACAACCCACCAAAGAGCACACAACAGCCGAAGGCCACCAATGGGTCTTCAACGCAGCGAGAAAATCCCGCATCCGGAGGTGGTCCTCAGCTGGCCCCTAAATAAAATTGTGTACTAGTTCAGTGAAAATGGACGTCACCCTAAACTCCAAAACATATAAATGAACTAAAATTTAAAAACATACAAGACTAACAAAAGCCAGAGGCTCCTGACTTGGGACAGGCGCAAAAATGCGGCGGGGTTAAACATGTTTTGTGAGATCTCAACCCTCCCCCTATACCTCTAGCCAATGTAGAATAAAGAAACACATAGCAATACGCACAGTAAAACTCAGTTTAAAAGAAATCAATATTAATACCAAAATATGCAATCCTTAATGACTCGATAACAGTATCGTACGTAACTATATCCTTTCCGAATAAGTCTGTTTAAAGGTTTGGTTAGCTTTTGAGGTGAATGCCGACATTTTTGTGCTTTGTAAAGAATATTACCATAAAATATTGGGTGTGAAATACATAAACGTATAAGATGTCTAGCTGCATGTTGATTTATATTTACGAATGATGTCCTTGTACCGATGATAAAATTTAGTAAATGTTTTGACCAGTTTGTGATATCGAAAACCCTGGTGTAATAATTTTTCAGTAATACAGAGATTTCTTTCGTTGAAATCAAGTACGTTGTTGCATACTCGAGCGAATCGAACAAGTTGAGATATATAAACACCATAAGATGGCGACAAGGGAACGTCACCATCTAAAAATGGATAATTAACAATAGGAAATGAAAAATCATCTCTTTTATCATAAATTTTGGTATTAAGCTTCCCGTTAAAAGGAAAGGGCAGTGTTCATTGTTAGTATTAGCTTTATTTAAAGTTAGTTCGGCAGGATATAAATCTCTAGTGTACATACTGAAGTCGTCATTATTGAGAGCCAATATATCATCTAACTATCTAAAAGTGTTATTAAATTTTTGAATCAGATGTTGTTTCGATGGGTCTTTGCTGAGTTTAGTCATAAATTGTAACTCATAACAATACAGAAACAGATCCGCAATAAGTGGTGCACAGCTAGTCCCAATGGGAATTCCGATAACCTGACGATATACGGAATCTCCATAGCGAACAAAAATGTTATCTAGTAAAAATTCAAGGACAGTTGCAGTATCAAAGCAGGTCCAATTGACATTGAACATTTGTTGTTACTAAAAAATGACCTAAAAGAGTTTGAACATATATATTCGCATTCCGACTTTTTGAATGACCATTTCATCAGGTGTGTGAACTTTTTCTTAATAAGATTATGAGGCAACGTGGTATATAGGGTAGACAAATCAAAACTTTGAACAGATTCGAAATCACCAATATAAGCATGCAATTTATCAAGTACTTCCAACGAATTTTTGACACTCCAAAAGTAATTAATTCCACTATTTTCAAAGGCCTTATTTGAATAATTTATTACCAGGTTTTTGATTGTACCAAGTGTACTAGTAAGTAGAATAGATAGTTTAGTAGTGGAACAACGGCTTGAAGACGAAATAAATCTATCTTTGTAAGGAGTTTTGTGCAGCTTCGGAAGCCAGTACATAGTTGGAACTTTCATTGTATTTGGTTCTGCTTGTAAAGAGGTAGCTAAAAGTTTATGTTTGATACAGATGTCATTTTCCGAAAATGGAGTCAGTTGGAATGTTGGTGAATTCGTGACTTCCTTTTGTAGAACATCAATGTAAAATTTACGTCAAACAATAATGATATTGTTAGCAGCCTTATCAGCCGTGACAAAAATATATTCCTTGGCGAGTTCTTTTAGCTTATGTTTGATACGGGAAATTGGGCTCTGTTCATTACCGAATTAAAAAAAGAATCAGTAATGATTTCTTGTCAGCTTTTTCTCGTTTTATCCATTTAGAGCAGTAAGTACGGAGTGAGTCGTGAATGATGTTACGACACTCATTCCAATTAATAATTGACGGGGGACGATATTTAGGTCCTTTACTGAGGAATGATTTCATCTCTCGGTCACGAACGATGTTAAGGTCTCCTGTTATAACATGGGAACTGGGCAATTCCATGAGGTAGGTGTATTGTCACTGATATTAACATCTTTACACACTTCGCTGTAGTTAAACACATATTTCCGGGTAGATTTTTTGTAAACATAACAAATAAGAGGGAGTTCAGTATTATCAAAATAGCCAGGAATTTCTTCTTTAACAGAATAATCATTAAAAATACTGCCAATATTTACAAAATCAAAACCTTTATTGACATATTTAATTTTAATAAAATGTTTTTTGTGATCTTCAGGGCGATCAATTTTGGGAAACAATTTAGAATAACAATATGCAATTATAATTTGGACGATTTCATACTTAGGACTGCAATATGGAATTGTGGGGTGCATTCCTCCAAAATTTGATGTAATTTATTAACAGGCAAAGAACAGAGCTTGGTTAGTTTACACCTTCTTCATTATAAACAAATGTTAGACCAGCCACTATTCTGTACCAAGTCAGGGTATGACAGTCAATCACCACTTGTTCTAATAAGACAATCGTTTCAAGAAAGTAGTAAGTTAATATGAACATTGACCTTTAACGTACTTTGAAGGGTATTATTCCCAGCTAAATCCAACTTTCAAAGTTATCAGAGTGCATTGATTGATTGATGGTTGCTTAACATTCAGTGGCAAATATTTCACGCATGTTCACACTAAGAACAAAATAACAATAAATACAAAAGGTAGGTAATAGAGGCCGTCATTGTTAATTATTATCATTTTCTTGATGTTGATATTCTGTTGACAGTATAAAATTCAAAGCATACTGTTTGTAGTACTTATGAGTATTCTAAGATTTCAAAGATGTATTAGTTTCATTTCCAAAATGCTTTCAGTTCAACGGGGATAATTATAATTGCCATAAATTGATCAAAGCCTTTAACAAATTATAATCTCAAATCTAGGGGGTATAACCCGTATCGTGGAAAAATGATACCCATTGCAAACAAATATAGTAAATTATTTTCTGCACTCAGATTTTATGGTAATATTTAAGAATTGAATGCTTCTTTCTGACTGTAATTTTATTGCAGTGTACAAACATTGACCGAAGCACATTTTTCATACCACACGATCAACGCTTTTACAACCCTATTAAATTACAAAATACAGCAAGATCGTTAGTGGGTCAAAAAGCGAAAAATCGATTGTCCTTGGACTCTTTTAAATCTACAAACAATTTGAAATTGAATTGAATATTGCAACAATTTGTTGACGTAACATAAGATATATATCATGTTAAGGTTGTTTTGTTTGTTTGGTTGAAAATGAATATTCTGCAACACAAAATGCAAGAAACTATTGTGAACAAAATTAAAATATTTTTTTTGCGCGGCATTGCCTTGGAAAAAATAAGCATGCATACCAACAGATGAAAGTGAAAAGTCTCCCCATCCCCAGAATATCAAATGGTCTTCTACTAAAATATACAAAAATATGTTTTGCAAAAGTGGTGTTATTAATCAAAACTTTTCAAACAATATATGGTAGTATTTTAGTGGTTTCAATTGCTACCGTACACGATAAATAAGCGATGTTTTATAAATCTACACAAGAACAGTTGCCAGCAGAGCAAAACAACATACTAGTATGTCATTTCATGATATTTCAAGAACAGACCGTAAGAAGGTAAAACAATAAGGTTAACCAGAATTAGACTTGCGTACATGTAATATGTAACTATAGACGATAGTGGAGGAAAGTTAAAATACTGAAATGCTGCAATATTAGAATCATTTTCAAGGCCGAAGGGCTTTGGCATCGACGTCAAGTTCAAATAAAAATAAGATGCAAATTCACTTTTAATGTCTAATCACGAAAATACTGTTAACTGTCATATAATTTTCAGATAAATCAACCCAACAAGTAAAGAGTATGAAGAGAGGGACAAGGCCATTTTGCATACTTCAAAACTCGATCGTTACAACCAAATACTGTCAACATGTTATTATTTGTTAATAGAGAATCTTACTTATCTTGACATGTTCAGCATGGAAATGAGGTGCAGACATGTACCAATTCAAACAGACAAACTCCTTCCAAATATTGTTGGAACACGATACACCGACTTGATTTTAAACCACTGGGGGTAAAATTGAAGGCAACGTCATAAGACATATTTAGACAAAAAGACTCCCAAATATAAATTGTTGGCCTATGATGCATAGTTACCAAGAAATAGACCTAATCATGAACATTGGGATTTTGAAATTGTCAAGTCCAGATGCCAAACTGATTTCTGAAAAATTGTCTTTTTGTTGACCGTGCACACAGTTATGGCTCACGTCATTGTTACTGCTTGGTAAATTACCCATAAGTCTCGCTAGACAAAGCAGTGATATAAAAACTATGTAAAAGGCAGGAAAAAGAGGGACAAAATATTATGTGCTGCTTGTTTAACACCCAGTGGCAAATATTTCTTGTATGTTCAGAACGAGGACGAAAATGAAGACATGGTACAATAAATAAACTGTTAACACAGAGATATGTCTCGCCTATTTGTTATTTTGATAATGCAAATATTGAAATTAAAATAGCAATACTTTAACATGTTAAGTTATGCAATTATGCAAATATTCAAAGTCAATGAACCATGACTGAAGGTACAGGGCTAAACAATCTCCATGGAAATGAGATGTGCCAATGCTAATACAAGTGCAAACCAAATACCATTGACTTTTAATAAGTTGTTCCCTTTAAACAAACCTAAACACAAACATAAACTTGTAAACTATGTAAAAGTTTCAAAGTCAATGAACTATAATTAGGGGGTGGGGTTATATAATCTCCATGGAAAGGAAACTTGCAAATGCCAATACATTTGCATACCGAATATCATTGACTTAACATTAGTGGTTCATCTTAAACTGACCTAATCACAAACTAATACATGTAAACTAAGCAAAAGTTTCAAAATCAATAGACCATGACTGAGGGTAAGGACCAAATATTCTCCATGGAAATGAGATGTGCTAATGCTTATACAACTGCATACCTAATATCATTGACCTACCACTATCAGTTCCCCTTAAACTGACCTAATCACAAACTAATATATGAAAACTAAGCAAAAGTTTCAAAGTCAATAGACCATGATTGAGGGGGTGGGGCCAAATAATCTCCATGGAAATGAGATATGCCAATGCTTATACAACTGCATACCAAATATCACTGACCTACCACTAGAGGTTCCCCATAAACTGACCTAATCACAAACTAATACCTGTAAACTAAGGAAAGTTTCAAAGTCAATAGACCATGACTGAAGGGGTGGGGCCAAATAATCTCCATGGTAATGAGATGTGCCAATGCTAATACAACTGCATCCCAAATATCATTGATCTACCACTAGCGGTTCCCCATAAACTGACCTAATCACAAACTAATACATGTAAACTAAGCAAAGTTTCATAGTGAATAGACCTTGACTGAGGGGACGGGGCCAAATAATCTCCACGGTAATGAGATGTGCCAATGCTAATATATCTGCATACCAAATATCATTGACCTACCACTAATGGTTAACCATGAACTAGACCTAATCACAAACTAATACATTGTTGCTGCCGCCGCTGGAAACAGCATACCCAAGTCTAGCTTTTTGACTCCGTCAAGGCGAGACAAAAAGACCAAATGTTTGGTAATCCTAGTGAAAAGTGGGTTACTTGCAACTGTGGCTAAAGATTAACACAAATCTAAACTATTGCAAAAAGCTTTTCTATTGAGAACTAATCAAACTATGCGACAAATCATAAAAGATTCTAAAGTAGTAAATGGTTCCATGATATCCTCAAAGAATTCAAAAGTCAAATGAGCTATACTGAGCTAAACTTATATATATCCTCGCTTGAAGATTCAGTGAATTATGTTTCAACATATAGAAATCAGGAGACCAAATGCTATGATTTTTTTTAACCCTGCTAAAGTAACGTTAAATTCAAGTTAAATCAATGGCATTCACAATTAGTGAGAAAGCCTGTCTTCTAAATTTACATTTGTATATGTATTTTACATCCCCAAGTTCATCAGTATATCCTTCTCTTTTCAACGATTTTCATAATTTTTGGTGCATTAGAAGATGGTTTACCTATGGCAATGATGGTAGTGCACCGTTATTCACTTGACTGGAATTATACAAGGAATGTGTACAAGTGATCCTTCATACAGGGTATTATCTTACCTCCTATACATTTCTAGGAATATCATTGGTTAAAAGCGACCTCATGGAGACCCTGTATATTTAATATTGGGCTAGTAGGCATGGTTTATTTTAATACATGGTTAGTAGTGGTGTTACGTCCTTTCATAAAAACTAAATGGCATTAAAAAATCTGAAACTTTTCACCCGGACAACAGAAGAAGAAATTGATTTATGAATGATTGAAATAAATGCAGAAAACACATTAAAAGCTAACAAGTTGTGACCAATGGAAGTAGGATCTTTATATTGAAGACTTGATCACTTTGATAGGCCACTAGTCTAAATGCCACGTGTTAAAGATAGTCGGCAAGATAAATTCGTTAGGCCATGTTTTTTTGGTTGTCAAACATGAAAGTAAAAATAAAAATTTAGCACATTATTCCTGGCAAGATCGTTTCATATCATCCCTGTAGTTTCTCTGATAATCCAAAGGATTCAATGATGCTACCTTTGTTATGTAACCATTGCACCATGTGCAATCTATACAATCAACATTCCTATAAACTTGCACAAGAATTGGTTTGGTAAATTCAAAGATGAAAAAATTTGAAAATGGATTGATCAGAATTGGTAAGAAGTACTATGAACTATTTGCTCTCTTATTAAACCATCGATCAATGTTTTGACTATTAGTATTTTGCAGTTGAATGAAACAAATGGCAAAGTAGAATATCAAAGAACTGTATAAACATGATATACAGGATAGCACAACTTGACAAATCTTGATGCAATAAATGAAGAAACTACAGATTTAATGTCAGAAGCACAAATAATCCAATATACTCACCTCTTTTTGAGCAGGGATAGATCATATAGCAAGTACCTCTTGTAGTCAATCATCCAAGTGTAACAAAATAAGGACTTTAAAAAGGACTTTAAAAAGGACTTTAAATGATTATTCCTGCCAAGTTTGGTTTAAGTTGGCTTTGAATTTTTAGAGGATTTGACAAAAAAAAAAAATTGGTTAAACACAATAGACGACACAAGTGATGGCAATTGCTCAAATTCTTCCCATGTGCAAGGTGAGCTAAACTGTGATGCAAGGTTGAACAACATTATGGATAAAGATAAACCAGTGAGCATCATCTTGTCATACCTAGAGTGTATTGTACCTGTTTTATATATCATTCTTTTCATACAATAAATATTTGTAACCTTACTTGGTCTTTTGGAATGACCACAATTGTTGTGAGAGCCTTAAACAAAGCTAACATGGACAGTATGTCAAAGCTTATATTGACTGCATGTCACTAGTATAAAAAACAAAACAATTCCACAAAAACAACATTTATTCAAAAACTCGCAGTCCATGTCTTAACATCAAAACCATAACCATCTTTTCTTCCTTAATCACTTTTTGTGCCAATATGATAGGGAATCAATATTCATTAAAGCAGTATATCCCTACTTTATGCATTTGTGCTAACTCCTTCCTAATTAAATCCCACCTTAAAGTATAATATTCAATCAATTAACAGATTAATTCACAGAACAAGACAATTTTTGTTACAAAATACTCAGTAATTTTTCATCAACTACCCAATTACCATTATGTAATTATACATTTAACAATAACTTAACATTTTCTTTAAACTAATAAGTATATATATATTTTCCTAAGGTATCATGCTTGTTGGATTGATTGACTGGTTGTTTTTTTTACTTTACATCCAGCAGTTAATATTTCATGAATAGAACTTCCATGCTTGTTGGATGTGACCACAATATATTTTGGTCTCAAAATTTAACTCAACCTTAAAACATTTGTTGTGGGTCATTTCCGTTGTCATTCCCTTACTGAATATTTTGCAATTTACCACTTGACAAGCCACCAAACTCTAATAATACAATAATTGATTACTATTATCTAAACACTGTAAGCTTTCCAAAAGTACAATATTTGATAGTATACATTGTCAAAAGATATCAGTCATATCAATATAATAGGAATACATAAGAAATTCCAGTATTTCAAAACTTCCAAATCAAAAATATTTACAATTAATATGGAAAAACAACTGCAATATTTAGTTTCTTGACCATTTTTAGTTTTGTTCCTCTGTGAGTAGTTTCACTTTACCTTTTTATATTTTTTTTGGAGCGCTCTTAAAAAACCCTAACTCAACAAGAACTCTAATTTATCTAAATCTTAATTACTATAAAAGACTTAACCTTTTTACAACCTTTTGCATAACAATTGCATGTAAGAATTAGTGTTCTAGTTAGTTATGTAATATGACAGATAAGTCTGGATAGGTGATAGCTCCATCCCTTTTCTAACAAGATCTAAACCATCAATCTGCCCAGGTTAACTCTCACAAACTACAGAACAAACATGTTTAAAATGTATTTGGCCCTTTTCATTCAAACCTGTAATCATACATGCAAGTTTATTTTCCACAGAAAAATATTTTATTTCACTGTTAATTCAGTTATTTACTCTAAAATCCTCTTAAAATTAAATTGAATTGAAATTTATCAATAACATTACGTATAATATTTACTTTTAAATATATATTTCTTTCTTGCTGAACATTCTCTTTAAGTTTTAAGATTAAATCTGATATTTTAGCATCAAGAGTATTCCGTTAACATTTTGTTCAAAAAACTTCAGATTGAGAGTAAGTAACTGAATTATCAGTTACATCCCTACTTAAATGTACACAAGATAATTGAATGAGCTATTAATATAACATGTATTATAATAATAAACCAAATTCTAGTGAAATACATGATCATGGCTTTATAAAGAGCCATTTTAAAGATTAATATAAACAATGAATAGGGGTACCTTAATGAGAATAATGAAATTGTTTTTGTTTTTCTTCCTATTAAAGGACATTTTATACATCAGGAATACACTTGCCCAAGGGTCAGTGACCCTTAATTTCTCTCAACTCTCCATTCTGAAACATTGCTTTATTCCTGAGGTACCTTGTTCCTAAGCATAATAAATCAACATGGAAATGTGTCCATGTTTAAGCAAGCCATTAAAAACGAACCAAAAAATTTCAATATTCAAACATGTGAAAAAGAAACCATTAAAAAGAAGCTAGAAATTAAGCTGACCCGTTGATTAATAAATCTTTTTCTTCACTTTTTAGAAAAATGTTCAAAACAAGGTGCTACAAAAAATTGCCATGCCAAATTTCTAGCTTCATGTGGCATTTCCTCAAAAAATTTCATGCAAACATTTTATTAATTGGAAATGCTAAAATATTTATATTATCTATTTATAGATTTTAATCATTTATACAATGAGGAATATGTTTTAACTTCATATCATTACAAATATAGTTCATCAAAATTTAATACAAAGAAATAAAAGAGGACAATTATGTCCCCAAAAAATATACAAAGTCAAGACTAACGGGCATGACCAACCCTTACTAGTGTCTTGATATCAATCCATTATGGAACTGGATTTCGAAAAACTTTTATAATGGGCATTAGCAAATATCTATTTATCAGATTATATTGCCTTTGTCTTGAAATCTTGTGTGTGCTTTATCAAAGACAAAATAAACTGAGAATGTTTTTTTTCCCATTAACTGCCCACACTGATCAATATCTCTTTACCATCATTTTCACCATTGATCAGTTTTTCAATTTTCAAACTTTTAAGACGAGAAGTAAAAATCTTTTTTTGACCAACTTCCCCTTTAAGGTTATCAAATATGCAATCTTGACATTTTTTTTACATATTCTTTTTGTCTTAATATTGCGTTACTTGTATTTTTTTTACCTAGTCATATTAAATAGCCATTAGGAACAAACTCAACCCAATTAAGGATACAACCTCCCATTTTACACCTTAACTTTTTCACTATGCACCACTTCTTGATTACAAGAAATCTCCAATAGGTTTTCTATAGCACAAATATACCTTTGTGCTTCAAATGATGCAGAAGGAACTCCATTCTTGTGATATTCAACTTAAAACTTTTAAATTACATAGTTCACTCCAGTCCTGAAGTAACATTAAATTATGTTTTTAGAGCCTTACAGCATTTTTACTCTTTTTTTCAATGTGATGCATTTTCCCTACTAAATACTCAAGGAAGATATTTAAGTGAATTAATTTAAAATTTTAGCTTGCTTTATCTGATTAAACTTTATTTAAGAATACTTTTACCCAACAACAATGTTTGAAAGTTTGGGAAATTTTATTTTCAATATTTTATAGTGTTATTAATCATTAATTCAAAATTCTAAAACAATCTTTCAATATCCCTTTTTCAAGTCTTTCAGCGATCTCCATTCAGACTGTTTCCATAAAAAATATATGAAATTACAAAAATATCTTCTTTGTAAAATGCAGTCAAAAAACACAAATTTTGGCTGACAAAGACATTCATCACATGCATACAAATGCAGGATCACTTCAAACAATCTTTAACATGACTGCGTTTGTTTCCTGTGGCATTTTAGTCCCGAGGACTTGCGTTGTCAATAGACAACAATTGAAAAAAAAAATATATGTATAAATGCAACAAGGCAATGCTACAAAAGTAAACATGCCATAACAAAAAAGAATCGGTTTGAATGACATTTGAAAGACAGTTATTGCAAATATCATTCAAACTTTGAACATGTTGATGAAGAGACTGTTCACAGCATTTTTTTTTTTTTGCGATAAAAAGGCAAAAATGACTGAAAGACATAAGAGCTGATCTGACAATATCGTCTTCAACATGTTACTTGAATGCTGATTTAGGGAAATTTCATAAATTTGATCGAAATCAACATCCACGTTAACAATGTATATATATTCAATTAGAAAGCACTTGTTCATTATAAAAATGTAAATATATGAAAAAATTTAACAAAAAACAAGAAAAAATAGAGAGAAATTTCTTCGGCAAGTGCATTCTAATTGAGTTAACTTAGTACTATAATGAAAATAAGTGTTACCAATTTTTTAACAGTAGAAAGACAAAAATAATAGATTAATCATTGTTTCCAGTATCAAAATAACCAATTCAAAATCAACCATTTGTCAATTTAAAAAGAAATGAAACCAATATTTCAAACAAATCTTTGCTAATTTAACAGAAAAATAAAAATTAGGTGTTATCTTCATATTATAACATAGAAGTAAACTTTTCAGTTATCTTCTAATAAAAACACCTTTATTCTCAGAAGTTGCCAATTACAGTTTTTTTTTCTCAAGCTGAATGCAGTGTTGCAAAAGAAACATTCATTAGCAGTAATGATCAACTTTCACCAAATAAATATCAGAGCTAAATTACAGTTTTAACCATACTTGAAAAGATAATTATAGAATAAAACTGACAAACTAAATAAGAAATATACATCATTACTAAATGTCTACCATTTACCAATGTACAAGTTTTTTTTCCATCAGTAGTTAACGGAACATTTGAAAATAAATTATGAAAAGTTACAGAAATCAATACAAATACAAAAAGAATATATAAGAACTGGCCTTGAGAAACTAAAACATAATCATAAGTCCATAAGTTTCATCAGTAACACTTAAATTCCACAAAATATTGAACAGTCATTAGTATAATCAGGCAGTGATATCTGTTGAGGATTTGTCACCATGAATGCCACTATCTGGGCTCTGAATGCCCTCTGGTAATCCTTTGGCAGTAGGTGTGGTCACTTCTTCAGCATCATCATATACACCATTTATTTTGTTGTTATCGCCATTTACAGCTATGGTAATGCTACCATTCTCTCTATCAAATAAAGAATTTTTTATATTATTCAAAAATAGATAACAATTTTGATACCGATGAGGTTAAATGCAAAAGCTGTATTATTCATAGGTTCTATGTTGGATTTTTTTTTTAGCTACTAATGGCCCCTTAATACCTTTTTTTAAAAAGTTCATTTTTTACAGTTAAGGAAGAAGTGTCATTAAAATGCATATTTCAATGAGTCTAAAAACAGTCTAATAGTTCTATAAATTTGTTCTTGTTAACACTGTTTTTTATTGCTTTCTTTGATAGAAGAACAACAATAAAAGAACAGTTCTATTACTATGGTGGTTATTTTCAAGTATATCAGAAATTTGTTGTTTCATATACATCCACTCTCTATTATTTTCTTTTCCAGTTATGAGTATAGGAAATACTATCATATATAAGGCTTTTAATTTTCTCTTTTAAATTGTTGGGACAATTCATTGCTGACTAAAAGGTACAAGTTTTGCTCATTGTTGAACCCTATACCGTGCTTACTCCTCGTCCTTTGGTCTCTGGTGGACAGTTGTCTCATTTGTCATCATACAAATCTCCTTTATACCTTTTTAGTCAGAACAAAGCAAGCAGATTAAGTTATTCTTTAATCAATCATCAAGTTGTTTTCCATTCCTTTGATATGTTTGAGCTTTTGATTTTGCCACTTGATAAGGGACATTCCATTTAGAATTTTGTTATTTATCTTTAGTCAATTACCCATCAGATTCCACAGTAACACCTCTTCCTCTTCCTCCTGATGGTTTCCCACCCCTCTTGTTATTATTATTGTAAACCCTTGGTCTGACTCGGATCTTTTTCACTCCTCTTCCACTTATAGCACCTCTTCCTCTGTAGTAACCTCGCTCAGGGGACATCATCTGTAGAAAATGAAAATAAATATAAAATAAGAATTGAAAGACTTCAATGGTTAGATTGCAGTACATCTTGAAATGCTGTGTAAATGGCAATGACTCTAGTATTTAATATACTTTTTAGAGAGCATGTTTTTGAATGCTAGCAAAACTGCAGTCTCCCATGAGATGTTAGATAAACAGATAAAAATCATAAAATTTAAACATCTTAAATGAACATACCAAAATTCAACCAAGTTTGAAGGTTGTGGGTTGAAAAAATACATGAGGAATTGATTACACAATATCAAGAATGAGCTGAAAATTGATTTAGGCATATCAGGCTAATGATCACTAATCATTTTTATCTGTGCTTTTACACCTGCCATGTTTTACATTTAAATTGCAGCAACAAAGCGTTAATTGTACACAATAAATGTTGACCTAATTTATTTCCTCTACAAAGTACTAGTAATAATAGTTTGGCTATTTTTCTGTTGTATGTGAATTTCTTACCCCTTGGTATCTCATCCCTCCTCTTCCATAAGCAGGTGGATAACCCATTCTGGGCCTCATTCCATCTCTACCAAAGCCTGGGTCTCTGAACATCATGCCACGTCCCATCAATGGAGGTGGTCTACCCATCATTCCACCTCCTCTATTACCCATCATACCACCACCTCGATTGCCCATCAAACCTCCTCCTCTGTTTCCCATCATTCCTCCTCCTCTATTACCCATCATGCCTCCTCCACGATTACCCATCATTCCTGCTCCTCCTCTGTTACCCATCATTCCTCCTCCCCTGAAATTAATCAGCAGTAAAGTTAATTTATTGCAGTCTCAATAATTCTTTCTTTTAACTGATCGACAGTTATATTATCATTCAGGTGTAATACCACCAAATCATAGTACGTCACATCCGGTTGCATATGAAAATAGGTTGAAAAAAAATATTCCCTTGAATTTGACAGTTGTAGGTAATTGATCCTACATTTCATTGCAGTAAAACATTTCTGGGTCATAAACATATATCTTGGGTATTTCAAAGCACCATTATTTTTTTATTTGGGGTTTCTATAGAATATTTTGGAAACTTGAGGTTACATGGTTACTAAAGCTTGTACACAGGTTAAAAAAGGGGGAAAATTTGATTGGTTAACTTCCAGTGATGGTTATTTTCTTATATGCAATGAAATGTTATGTGAATTTTTTTCTATAGTACTGGACAGGATAAAACTTTACTCATGCCAAGTATTTCTTTATTTGAAACAAAGATAAATTCTGCACAATTTTTTGAAAAGTGCAAATTTAACAAAGACTAATAGGGGAAAATCAATGGTGGTATTACACCTTCAAATGACTGGCATGCTCTTCACAAGTGCATGCCATATGGTGACATTTTCATGTAAGAAAGTTTATAGAATGAGTACATATTTGCCCATTAATTGTGATATAGATTAATCCCTATAATGAACACTGAAAGTACATTATCTGATATTGGTTATTGTACACCAACATATTTTCATGTTTAGCTCTTTCCCACCGACTTCTCTACAATTTCCCCTGAAATTTTCTTTGATGATGTATTAATTCTAGAGGAGATTACAGTTTGACTTATTCATGTCCATATGTATTCATGGTATGTTGCTACATGCAAGAGTTGTGAAAATAAATTACTCGCGAAAACTAATGTGTTCAATTTGTGCAATCTAATGATCTTTTATTTGAACATTTAAATTGAAATGTTAATAATAAAAGAACATTATTCCAATGTCCCTGTGTTTCACATATCTTATCTGTCCAAAAGCAATAAATAGGAGAAAACAATTCTTTTAACTTTTTAATAAATATCTTACAAGAAATGTAGGCATGAGATCACTAACAATGTTATTTTCCATATATATATATATATTTCTATTTCAAAGCCTTACCAATATAGCCTTTGATATGAACTTCATAAAAATTCAACAAGAAATATAGGTGTGAGAGTGCTTTAATACAATGTAATGTTTAATATAAATTATATTTCAAAGAGATAACTCCTGTAATAATAGATCAGTGCGGATTTTTGAACTCACCCAATACATTCTTTAAATAAATCTATGATCAAAATTTCAAAACCATCCTACAGGAATGCTTACAATGCAAATTTCTCTATAGTTAATATTTCCAAGCGGCATAATTCTCTTAAAAATATTTATTTGGCACCGATTTTCGAATTTGTCCAAGACATTGCTGATTTAAACTTCACAAAAATCAGGCAAGAATTGTACATGTGAGAGTACTAACAATGCAATTTTCTGTAGTATATTTATATTTACAAGGGGCATAAAATATTTATTGGTACTGATTTTCAAACTTGTCTGAGGCATTGCTAATATAAAACTTTGATGTTAATTTCATAAATATCTGGCAAGGATTGTACATTTAAGTTTGCTAACAATGCAATAACTAAAGAATACACATTTCTAAGGGAAAACTCCTGTAAAAATAATTGTTAAGCGCTAATTTTCAAACACATCCCAGACATTGCTGATATAAACTTTCTATATAAATTTCAAAACAAACAATAAAATGCTTCGCTGGGGCGCAGCTTGATACGACCGCAGAGGTCGAACCCTGAACAGTTGGGGCAAGTATGGACACAACATTCAAGCTTGATACAGCACTGAATTTGGATTGTAATTAAATATTTGACACAGGATAGGTTTCTGACACAGAATGAAAGTGGTCTAAGAACTTAAAAAAATTTAATTTACCTATTCAAACCATATCATTATAATTTGCTTTTATATATAAATCAGAAATAACCAATTTAAAATGGAAAATTTTAAAGAAAAAAAATGAAAAAAAAATCCCCCTCCCAAATTTTTTGAACCCCCTTATGATTTTCATCACCCCCAAACTCATTTCCAGCCTTCCCTTTGTGGTATGGTACCTTGCAGTACAATTTCAGAGAGATCCATACACTTGAACACAAGTTATTGTCTGGAAACTAGAAAAATGCTTGTTTTTTGGCCCCTTTTTGGCCCCAAATTCCTAAACGTTTAGGGCAATTACCCCCAAACTCAAACCCAGCTTTCCCTTTGTGATATGGAACCTTGCAGTACAATTTCAGAATCCATACACTTACACACAAGTAATTGTCCTGAAACTAGAAAAATGCTTGTTTTTTGGCCCTTTTATGGCCCCTAATTCCTAAAATTTTGATGGAATTACCCCCAAAATCAATCCCAGCCTTCCCTTTGTAGTATGGTACCTTGCAGTACAATTTCAGAGAGATCCATACACCTGAACACAAGTTATTGTCTGGAAACTAGAAAAATGCTTATTTTTGGCCCCTTATTCCTAAACTTTTAGGGCAATTACCCCCAAACTCAATTCCAGCTTTCCCTTTGTGATATGGAACCTTGTAGTACAATTTCATAAAGATCCATACACTTACACACAAGTAATTGTCCTGAAACTAGAAAAATGCTTGTTTTTTGGCCCTTTTATGGCCCCTAATTCCTAAAATTTTGATGGAATTACCCCCAAAATCAATCCCAGCCTTCCCTTTGTAGTATGGTACCTTGCAGTACAATTTCAGAGAGATCCATACACCTGAACACAAGTTATTGTCTGGAAACTAGAAAAATGCTTATTTTTGGCCCCTTATTCCTAAACTTTTAGGGCAATTACCCCCAAACTCAATTCCAGCTTTCCCTTTGTGATATGGAACCTTGTAGTACAATTTCATAAAGATCCATACACTTACACACAAGTTATTGTCATGAAACTAGAAAAATGCTTGTTTTTTGCCCCTTTTTTGGCCCCTAATTCCTAAAATTTGAAGGCAATTACCCCCAAAATTAATCCCAGCATTCCCTTTGTGATATGGAACCTTGTGATACAATGTCAGAGAGATCCATACACTTACACACAAGTTATTGTCATGAAACTAGAAAAATGCTTGTTTTTTGCCCCTTTTTGGCCCCTAATTCCTAAAATTTGGAGGCAATTACCCCCAAAATCAATCCCAGCATTCCCTTTGAGATATGGAACCTTGTGGTACAATTTCAGAGAGATCCATACACTTACACACAAGTTATGTCTGGAAGTTACAAAAATGCTTATTTTTGGCCCCTTTTTCCTTAACTGTTGGTACCCCCAAAATCAATCCCCACCTTCCTTTTGTGGTATTGAACCTTATGATAAAATTTCATAGAGATCCATTCACTTAAACTAAAGTTAGAGTGCGAAAACTAATGTGTCTTCGGACGACGACGACGACGACGTCATACCAATATACGACCACAAAAATTTGTTTGCGGTTGTATAAAAAATGTATGCTAGAGAGCTTGAACAATGTAATTTCCCATATTCATATTTCACAAGGCATAACTACATTTAAATTAGTTGTTTGGCACAGATTTTTTAACTTGTATGAGACATTGCTGATATAAAATTTAGCAAGAATTAAACATGCGAGAGCATTCAAAAGCCAGGGCAGATGGTATTTCTCTGTCCCCTGCAGAGGACTATAATGACAATCATGTTTAAAAGTAGTTTTTAAGATTGTATAAGTAACAATTACACTTATTCTTCCATTAATATTACCTGGGAGGATAACCTCTTCTCTGACCTTGACCTCCAACTGACATTACCCTAGGTGACATAGATCCCATTCCACCATTACCTCCTCTGCTGCCTGGTATATTGGCTCCCCAGCTTCCGACAACTACTCCAGCTATTTCAAGCTGTCCACCTCGAGCATCAATTGGTGACTGTCCTGTAGTGCACATGATTTTTTTTTAATAAAGTGAGTTAAAACATCAAGAGCAACTTATGAACCATTAAATTGCTTATTGACACTTAAAATTGCAGTTGTCTGGAAAAGTTGTGAAGTGCATAGAAAATTATTTCATTTCTTTTGTTCACATTGTTATCAAAGATAAAAGGAAACAAAATAATGACAATAGACAAAATAATATACCACATCTAGCCAGTTCAAATACTTAGGGCTGTTCCATTAAAACATACATGGTACCCAGGGAAGGCACTTTAAAAATGGGGTAACCACCTGTAGAGGCAAATTAAAATTTCGATGACATTTCCACTATGCAAAAACATAGATGACACCCACCCATAGTTGAGATTTGGAAGTGCCTTCCCTGGGTCTCGTGTATGTTTTTATGGTACAGCCCTTAACAGTATTAAAAAAAAGAGGCAAATAATGAAACTAATTAAGCAAATGAAAATACTTGACCACAGTGTTTTTGCCTGAATTTTCCAAAATGCTAAATTCTAGAATTACTGGTGTTATACTTTTACAATTTATGAATAGAATAATAAATTCTAAAAAAAAAATAGTGAGTACACTGATTCACACAAATGGATCTCTATGTCAAACACATATTTTAATAACTAATAATTTCTGTAAGAATTGGTGGACGAAACACTGTAGTATATCTTATAAAAACATGAAACAAGCAAGAACTAGAAACTGATGAAAATAATGCCAGTGAAAGGTAACTTAAAATACCAGTACACATGAAATTTTGGAGTGATTATTTCAGAAAAGTCCATTGAATAATATCAGAAATTTCTGTACTCAAAATACTGTGGATTCATTACTTTGTGTTTAGCAATATTTTTTTCTTAAATATTTCTTGGGTAAAGGTGAACCACAACTTCAAGTTTTGAACAAAAAACATATTTCCTACAAGTTTGTTTGAATAATTTGACTGAACCATGAAATCAAGTGTTCACGAAAACACAATTTTTCCTAAATTCTTAAATATTTGTACCCAGGAATTTAAATGAATCCACAGTATCCTTACTGATTTTGTTTTACTTATCAAGTGTATGGGCATATCTGAAAATATTAGAATAAACTAAACTCTGAAGATAAGTAAGATTTAAATTTTAGAACATCATTAAACTAGTAATACATGTAATTCATTTACTTCTGTCCCATATCTTATTTGTTTTAAAGTTATATCAACCACTGGCTTTACTTCTAGAAAGAATAATAATAAGGCGATGAAGAAAATTTCGGATGAGTAAAAAAGAAAGACAAACAAAAAACACAGCAACTGCAGAAAGCAACTAAATGATAGAGGGTATATACCGCACCTTTAGTTTGATATTTACCCAGAATTCCCCTCCCTCTTCCTGGAGACTTAGGCTGCTGTCCCATACCAGCAGGAATACCAGGACGCATGCCTGGGCCTCCACTCATTCCATGACCACCACCCATTCCATGGCCACCACGCATTCCATGGCCACCTCGCATACCAGCAGGTGACATGCCCATTGGATTTGCGAATTGATTGAATGGATAGTTGGTATACATGGACATAGCAGCGGAAGGAAGAAGGGGACGGGCAAACTCCACTTTAAGGCCTTCCATAATGGCCTGACGCATTCTTTCCACTCTGAGAACTTGGTCAACCTTTAAAATAAATAATCATTCCAAAATTCAATTCAGCAATAAAAGTTAAAAATCAAATTCATGAACATATATAATATAATTTGTAATTCTTTTTCTGTACTTAAGTACTTTTCTGATTTTTCCATGAACACAGTAAAATATACAACACTATTTATTAACAAGGGTCCGGAAACGGTCATATATGCCAGTCATGTCCTAAGATGAAACTATTTGTCCTAAATGAGTAATTGGGATTTAGGACAAATTTTATTTTTTAAAGAAGTAATTTCGGTCATTTCATTGACTCAATGTTTGAAATCGGATTTCTTAATCACCATTTTGCACTGTCTTGTGTAAGTTGTTATCACTTGTTTTTGTTTATAATCCCTTTCCTGTAATAAAACTGCCACTCCAGTTGTTTGATAATCCTGAGGGCCCTCCTAATATCTATATCAATGCCTCCTTGAAACATTGGCTAATGATCACTTATCACTTTTTACCTGTGGTTTTAATTCACTCCTGACAGTGATCACAAGCTCAGAATAATATCTTAACAAAAATTGAAATTCCCTGACAAGTGTATTCATTATTTAATTACTTTTCAGCAAAGACAATCATCAAATCTGATTTAAAAATTAAACCTAAATTTACGGAGAAAAAAGTATTTTTTCATGTGCTTTATTTACTATATAATACGCATGCGTAAAATTGTCTTCAGCAAATTTAATATTTAATCATAAAATGCAAATTGATTTCATGCTAAATTAAACAAGTGCAACTGTTGTCTGTTACATTCAAACACTTGTAAAGGTAATAGAATAAAAAGCCATAAAAAGCCTGCGATTTCCTGTCAATTTGATAAACAAAACAAATCCCAGAAATGAATCCGGAATTATTCGTTCTTTAACTTTATCACAAACTTCCGGTTTTAACTTTTGTCAAATCGAAAGAAACGTAAGCAATGTCAGAGAGATTAACCAATTTGAGTCATTAAAATCATTTCAATTTTAAACTATTGCCTTCCCTAAAATGTTCTTCATGGTAATGGTAAGACATTTACTTAGTAAATGCGATGATACAGCAATACAAGTTCGTTGATGCTATGAATCTAGTCAAGTTGACATCGACAATTTGGAAAGGGGCACCAACTTTTCAATCATCTCAAAATGACCAAAATTGTGTGGAAAAATTTCCGGATCCTTGTTTATTAACCACTTTGATGTCTTCATCTATGAACAATTGATTATCTTACCTGTCCATCACACATATCTATCAATGGTGTATTGTTGTTGGCTTTGAGTAATTTATAATGGAAAAGTTTGCCATCAAAGTAATGCCATGGAGCGCACATATTCCATGGGATTGGTGCACCACAAACATCATTGGCAAAGACTGCTGTCTCCACTCCTGACATAAACAATGAAGCTAAGTGGATTCCTCTTGGCAACACATTTGGCAACTGAAACAGAAAAATGATAAATTTATAAAACTACATGTTGTGAAAATCACTAACCAACCATTGCATTTATTGATTTCCACATCCAAAGGGATTTTCAATAATAAAGCCTAGTTATCTGTATCTTCAATATCAAATTTTTTCATTCTTTTTTATAAATCTCAATTTGTTTTGGCTAATTGAACTAACAAGATGTACTGTGAGCTATTGTTCGTGACCCCACTACAAGTATAAGTGAAACAGGAAATCGATGAGCGATGGACCCAAACGAAATCGCATCTCATATTAAGCATGATAAAAATGTCAGGAAGCACAGATTTGAAGTTTGAGAAAAATGCAGCAAAAATTCATGGTCTACCAGTATAGCAACCTCCCCTTTCATCCAAACTTGGGGTTACAGGTTAAAAATCAGTTACACTATAGATTTCCTGGGTAAAGTTAAACTACAAATTTTAGTGTTTGGATTGTATATTCTGCAGCTAAGGATATCTAATAGTATCTAGCAACCTCCTCTCTTTATCAGAAACTTGGGGGTAGAGGTTTCAAATCAGTTACACTATTGATTTCCTAGGTAAAGGTAAAACTACAAAGTTTAGTGTTTCGATTGCATATTCTGCAGCTAATAATATTACCTTGAGATCCTGCATGGTTTGTACATCATGTAACAATGGAGATACACTCATGGCAAGGAAAGCATCTAATTCTTGTCTCTGTAAAATTCTTCCTCTTGTCAATATAAACCTGTTATTAAATATCAAATCCAGCTTATAGACACTTAAATTACTTGTGCTTTTATATAACTGTAGTAACAACTAATATCAAAGTTTCCACTGTCCTCATTTAACGATGTTAGAATATCTAAGACATTTATATTCTACCACACTACCCTGTTGTTAAAGTTAGGTATTCACTCAAGACAGTTAAATTTTCATAAACAAAACTGTAAAAGGTCAAAATTAAACTATCTAAGGCATATAAACATTGTTGTCAACAAGGTTAAGTGTTCAGTCTCTTTATTAATTTAATGTAAAATGCCAAGTGCAATGTTCCTAAAGGATTTGGTGTCAAGAGAAATTTGTATTATACAAGACAAATTTAAATCAACTGGTTTATCAAATTGATCCGAGATAGTTCAAATGCACCTAATTATAGAAAGATGTTTCCAGTGTCTAAAATCATTCTTTGTAACAATGGATACAATCATCAATCATCTCTTTTGTTTATGTTTTTTCTCTCTTTTTTTCAAGTTTCATATTTCTTCAAGTGGGATTTAATATCATCTCCTACTGATAAAAATGAAAACTCAATTCAATTCCTGTATATATTATAGAGGTATATCATAAGCAAAAATACAATTGTAAATTTTTTTTTGCCATGTTCACCCTTTCCAATGTTAAACAGCAAAATTCAAAGTATTCTGAATTTCAGATTAGAAGTAGGAAATTGCTGAATTTGTTATGAAATTGACAGTTGTTTACAAAATTGTACCTCAAGACACAACATAACAACAACAGCTGTTGAGGTACATATTGTGTGTTCAGCATCAGAGGAGTGTCACTCTCCATGCAGGTAAGGAATGCCCTCAATCTTCTTGTTTTATCTTCTACATTGGTTCCTAACCACATACGTTCAATACTTGGTGTTTTCCAATCAACTGGATAAGCTGTCACCATTTCACATTGGATCTTCGTTGTTCCACGTCTTATGATCCACTCTTTTACTGGTACTTCAAACTTTTTAAAATCTGGGGCTGAAAAAAAATCCAATAAAAATAATGCAAGTACGTTTTTTAAGTCTACTCCTTTTCATCCTAGATAAGTAGCAAAGGACTGTTTCTCTTTATACAAAATTCCCAAAACCACAAAGATTCTATAAATTGTATCCTAAAGCTCTAGACATGTTTTACATATTAAGTTACTGCATAGTATATGCTTTAATATGAGAAACTCTGAAAATTAGTCACATTAAAAATCTAATTGTATGAATGAAAGCTGTCAAATTTTGTTCAATTTATATGTTAACTGTGATTGGTTTTGCAATGAAAATTTGTTGAAAGAGAGATAAAAATACCGGTGGATAGGACTGAAACAGTTGACACATATTTTTGTCAGAATCGATCCCGAACAGATATATTTTACCTTGTTCTTTGTTTTGGTTATCATGAATAATTTTCTGTTTGTTGAGGTTAAATAAGACGGAGTAAACAGTTTGTCTGATAGGTCTGTAAAGTTCTACTCCTGTTGGTAACTCTCGACTGATGTCATCTTCGAGGGTAACTGCAATCTTGATCTCTCCCTATTAGTACAAAAAGCAAGTAAGTTTTATGTTCAATGTAAACAAGAGTGGACATGCTGAAATGTCTCGCCTTCTTTTCTAATCATTGATTTTATGTTGATAGTCCTAAATGAAAGCTTTACTACAACTATTACATAAACTTAACATGATCCAAGAAAATGAAGTCAAGGTCATATAAACCAAACGAGAAATACATGTACACCTTACAATCATTCAATACACTAAATATAGTTGACCTATTGCTTATAGTTTCGAAGAAACTAAACATTGACCAATGAATCGTGAAAATGAGGTCAAAGTCAGATGAACCATGCCAGGCAGACATGAACAGCTTACAATCCTTCCATACAACAAATATAGCTGACCTATTGCTTATAGTTTAAGAAAAACAGACTGAAACACATAAACTTAACACTGAGCAATGAACCGTGAAAATGAGGTCAAGGTCAAATAAAACCTGCGAGACTGACATGTACATCATAGAATATTTCCATACACCAAATATAGTTGACTTATTGCATATAGTATAAGAAAAAAGACCAAAACTCAAAAACTTAACTTTCACCACTGAACCATGAAAATGAGGTCAAAGTCAGATGACACCTGCCAGTTGGACATGTACACCTTACAATCATTCCATACACCAAATATAGTAGACCTATTGCATAAAGTATAAGAAAAACGGACCAAAACACAAAAACTTAACTATAACCACTGAACCATGAAAATGAGGTCAACGTCAGATGACACCTGCCAGCTAAACATGTACACCTTACAATCATTCCATACACCAAATATAGTAGACCTATTGCATACAGTATAAGAAAAACAGACAAAAACACAAAAAACTTAACTATAACCACTGAACCATGAAAATGAGGTCAAGGTCAGATGACACCTTACAGTCCTTCCATACACCGAATATACTAGACCTATTGCTTATAGTATCTGAGATATGGACTTGTTCACTGATCCATGAAATGAGGTCGAGGTCAAGTGAAAACTGTCTGACAGGCATGAGGACCTTGCAAGGTAAGCACATACTAAATATAGTTATCCTATTACTTATAATAATAGAGAATTTAACATTACAAAAAATCTGAACTTTTTTTTCAAGTAGTCACTGAACCATGAAAATGAGGTCAAGGACATTGGACATGTGACTGACGGAAACTTCGTAACATGAGGCATCCATATACAAAGTATGAAGAATCCAGGCCTTCCACCTTCTAAAATATAAAGCTTTTAAGAAGTTAGCTAACGCTGACGCCGGATCACTATCCCTATGTCGAGCTTTCTGCGACAAAAGTCGCAGGCTTGACAATAAAAACTAATTATTTTGGATATCTATTTTTGTCAAATATGAAGCTGATTCGTGTATGCTAGGATAATTCCCCTATTAAATATTTGTTTTTTTTGGCTGGATTTAAAAAAAAAAAGATCATGTTTTAATATTTGAAATAGCTCTCGCCGCGATATAGCCTTTTTTGTGCTGATGCGGTGTACAGCAATCACCAAACAATCAATGTGTAAAAATTGAGCATATATTACAAATTTTGGATAATTCTTCAAAATATGCAATCTTGTCATTGTCGTACAACCATTATAAATGCTATTCCATTTAAATGGATATGGGAGGGTAGAAAAGGAATTTTTATTTTTTGATATCATTTATGATTGTAAAGTTACACAAACCGTGACAAAGGCAAGTGGTTGTGGGGCAATTTTGGATGTCCCTTCCTACCTACCCAATTCCATTTGAAATATATAGCCCCTAAACATGCTAAAGGGCAAAATATATTTTTTGCAATATTTTTGTTGTTGAAATTACATCTTTGTGGAAAATTAACATGTACATGTACCACTGTACAACTTTTCCCACCAAGATCTAAATTCATTTGTTTATTTAAAGGTCAATTCAGGCAAACAATAGTTTGCTCCTTATAGAAATATATGTCTCTCATATTTTCCAAGATATTTATATAAAATATTGTGAACCATAGCCTGTTTTATGCTTCAAATTTTAACTATAAATAAATTTCAACTTCCAAAACAGAAACATTTCTAAAACTAACAATAAATAACAAAACTGATATTCAAAAAAAGTTTATATGATGTGAAATAAGAAAACTTTTTATAAGTATACGGACAAATTACATGGAATTTTTGCAAGTATGCATGATATTGTGCAAACATCTCACCTGGGATAATAATTGGTAAATCCAAGAACACATCAGTCCTTTTTGATGTCTCTCACTTGCTACTCTCATTATTTCAGGCAGAACTTGTGGAATTCTAGAGTCGGAAGGTTGTCCTGTTGGTGATTTCTGAACCTGAATGAAATATATTTATTTTAAAAGTCAAAATTCTCCAAATTAATTCAAATGAATGAAAATGCTTTAATTATAAGAATGATGATCAACAAATATGAAACTAGACTGATAGTTACTTGCTTAGAGTTGAAATAATATAGCATGCAAATCAAGAGTTTAAATGCCTTGCTTGCAAACTTTGTTTGGTTGTTTGCTCAGACAATTGTAATTAAGATTGACACCTAAATTCAATGGGTAGGTGGAGTAACAGTCGGTTTACTATATACAAAGGTTTTTCCAGTTAGGCACTTGAAAGATAAAAAGAAGCATGGGCTAAAGGGGGTACAGGAAAGGTAAAGTTAACCAATTTTGAAATGGATTAAAAACGTAAAGCAATTGTCTGAGCAAACAACCAAACAAAGTTTGCAAGTAAGGCATTTAAACTCTTGATTTGCATGCTATATTATTTCAACTCTAACATAAAGTAGCAAATTATGAAACTTGAAGGAAGATCAATTTTAACATGAAATAAGAACTTGCTGTTTAATTGTTTTTTTCCCCTTTGCTATGAAGCTTACCCCCTGCACTTTGGTAGTTTGAGGCCAACCAACCTCAGGACTGTTACGATTAGGGCTGGATCCACTACTGCTGCTGGAAGAAGAGGAAGCGGCAGCTAACATCTCTGGTTTTAATGGAATACCTGAAAAGATTAAAGTTCAGATATGTCTAAGTAAACTCAGTCAACCTCCCCATCAAAATATAAATGTTTGCTTGTACCAAAATAACGCTGTTCGCTTGTTACTAATACTATTAATAATCTAACATAGCATGAAGAGTCCCTGCATTCAATCATTCAAGTTTAGTTGTCAGTCGTCATGCCAACATTAAAAAGAATCTTTGAGTGTAAAAACTACAGAAATTTTGAGTCTGCTTAGGAATTATCAATACTTTTTTCCAAAATAAAAATATCATTTAGTGACATAAAGTTTAAAATTCAATCTGTTGTATGCTCATATCTTAATTTGAAATGGTATTTTGGCAAAATCACACTGGGAATATGTTCTTTTGATGTTTAAATAAGGACAAATAATTTTTAACAGCTCTGCTTAAAAATATACACCATCAACATTAAAGTAAGGCTTACATTATAAATCATACAAGTGTTTATAAACCCATTTTCTTGCAATAAGTCAGTTTAATTGAATTCTCCCTTGAGTTAGGCATTTAAAAATAACATTGCCCAGTTAAAACAGCTTGGTTCGGTTGACTTTAAATCAAATTTACAAATTCAACTGGAGAGATTTTGGTTTAACGTCTTCAAATATTTCAACAGCTCTTGATAAAATCAAAATAAATTTTTCCTTTTTTTGTATAAATTGTTATGGGACCAGCCAGAGAAAATAAAAAAGAATAAAAGTAGACATGGTGCTGGGTCAGATTCATTTATAAATGAACATGAATCATACACCATGTCTGCCTATTGGGGAAAGCTTTCTCTTTCTCGTTACATTGTCTGCCTCCTTGCCGTCATTAACTCAAAAGCATTAACAGTCGTTTATGTTGCGTCAACACACAATTCTATACAACATTTGTAAGCGTGTGTTTTACAACAGAAGCTGGATTGATTTTAGCAGTAAATTGAACTCATTTTACTCTAAAATCATTTGCCAATTATTATTAAACCAACAGATACAGTCTGTCCAACCTGAAACGATTCTGACTTTAGGTCCAAAGAAGCACAGGTACAAAACGAGATTTTGTTAATATATGAATTTATTTCATATCGGTCAAGAATAAGCTTCTCTTATTTGATAACAAGGGGCCACATGACATTCTTTATTCTTTAGTAAAAAATTCCATTGGTCTTTTAACTGAAATAAAATGCTCCGCAGGGCACAGCTTGATACGACCGCAGAGGTCGAACCCTGAACAGTTGGGGCAAGTATGGACACAACATTCAAGCTTGATACAGCTCTGAATTTGGATTGTGATTAAATATTTGACACAGCATAGGTTTCTGACACAGAATGAATGTGGTCTAAGAACTTAAAAATTTTAAATTGGACATTCACCTATTATGGTCCAATATCCAAAATCTAAATACATGGTTAGATTCAGCATATCAAAGAACCCCAAGAATTCAATTTTTGATGAAATCAAACAAAGTTTAATTTTGGGCCCCGATTTGGACCAACTTGAAAACTGGGCCCATTATCAAAAATCTAAATACATGTTTAGATTCAGCATATCAAAGAACCCTAAAAATTCAATTTTTGTTAAAATCAAACTAAGTTTAATTTTGGACCCTTTGGACCTTAATGTAGACCAATTTGAAAACCGAACCAAAAATTAAGAATCTAAATACACGGTTAGATTCGGCATATCAAAGAACCCCAATAATTCAATTTTTGATGAAATCAAACAAAGTTAAATTTTGGACCCTTTTGACCTCAATGTGGACAAAGTTGATAACGGGGCCCAAAAATCAAAAATCTAAATACATGGTTAGATTCAGCATATCAAAGAACCCCATATATTCAATTTTTGTTGAAATCAAACAAAGTTTGATTTTGGACCCCGATTTGGACCAACTTGAAAACTGGGCCCATAATCAAAAATCTAAATACATGTTTAGATTCAGCATATCAAAGAACCCTAAAAATTCAATTTTTGTTAAAATCAAACTAAGTTTAATTTTGGACCCTTTGGACCTTAATGTAGACCAATTTGAAAACGGAACCAAAAATTAAGAATCTAAATACATGGTTAGATTCGGTATATCAAGGAACCCCAATAATTCAATTTTTGATGAAATCAAACAAAGTTAAATTTTGGACCCTTTTGACCTCAATGTGGACAAAGTTGATAACGGGGCCCAAAAATCAAAAATCTAAATACATGGTTAGATTCAGCATATCAAAGAACCCCATATATTCAATTTTTGTTGAAATCAAACAAAGTTTAATTTTGGACCCCGATTTGGACCAACTTGAAAACTGGGCCCATAATCAAAAATCTAAATACATGTTTAGATTCAGCATATCAAAGAACCCTAAAAATTCAATTTTTGTTAAAATCAAACTAAGTTTAATTTTGGACCCTTTGGACCTTAATGTAGACCAATTTGAAAACTGAACCAAAAATTAAGAATCTAAATACACGGTTAGATTCAGCATATCAAAGAACCCCAATAATTCAATTTTTGATGAAATCAAACAAAGTTAAATTTGGACCCTTTGGACCTTAATGTGGACCAATTTAAAAACGGGGCCCAAAATCCAAAAACTTAATACACGGTTAGATTCAGCATATTAAAGAACCCCAAGAATTCAAGAATAAAACCCCATTGAAATTGATCAAGAAATAAGCAATTCATACGAAGTATCTTCTTTTGCACAATACTGTGCAATTGAATATTTCTTGCTATTGCGCAGTACTGTACAATTGACAATTTCTTGCTATTGCGCAATATTGTGCTATTGGATATTTCTTGCTATTGCGCAATACTGTGCAATTGAAGATTTCTTGCTATTGCGCAATACTGTGCAATATTAATTGAAGATTTCTTGCAATTGTGCAATACTGTGCAATTGAAAATTTCTTGCTATTGCACAATACTTATTATATAATAATTTACACATCCTGTTTGGTGTGTATCTCCTACCATATCATTATTATTTGCTTTTAAATATTAATCAGAAATAACCAACTTAAAATGGAAAATTTTAAAAGAAAAAAAAAAGGAAAAAAAGAAAAAAAAAGAATCCCCCCCCAAATTTTTTGAACCCCCTTATGATTCATCACCCCCAAACTCAATCCCAGCCTTCCCTTTGTGGTATGGTACCTTGCAGTACAATTTCAGAGAGATCCATACACTTGAACACAAGTTATTGTCTGGAAACTAGAAAAATGCTTATTTTTGGCCCCTTTTTGGCCCCCAATTCCTAAACGTTTCGGGCAATTACCCCCAAACTCAATTCCAGCTTTCCCTTTGTGATATAGAACCTTGTAGTACAATTTCAGAAATATCCAAACACTTACACACAAGTTATTGTCATGAAACTAGAAAAATGCTTGTTTTTTGCCCCTTTTTTGGCCCCTAATTCCTAAAATTTTGAGGCAATTACCCCCAAAATCAATTACAGTCTTTCCTTTGTGATATGGAACCTTGTGGTACAATGTCAGAGAGATCCATACACTTACACACAAGTTATTGTCTGGAAGTTACAAAAATGCTTATTTTTGGCCCCTTTTTGGCCCCTAATTCCTTAATTGTTGGTACCATAACCCCCAAAATCAATCCCAACCTTCCTTTCGTGGTATTGAACCTTATGGTAAAATTTCATGGAGATCCATTCACTTAAACTAAAGTTAGAGTGCGAAAACCAATGTGCCTTCGGACGACGACGACGACGCCAACGTCATACCAATATACGACCAAAATTTTTTTTAATTTTTGCGGTCGTATAAAAAAAAAAAAACGCACCAGAAAACCGGTCGTTAATGGACTTTTACATGTTAATGACCAGTGGGGCGTGGTTTCTGTTTAGAGTGATGTCCCTTTAATAAAACGCAATCGCGATTCAGACTTTTGGAACATGGGTGAACTGAAAGGCACGTCTGCTACAGACAAGAGTGCACACGCTGAAATGTCTTGCCTTCTTTACTAATCATTGATATTATGTTGATAGTCCTAAATATAAAGCTTTATTACAACTGTCACATTAACTTAACATTAACCAAGTAAACAAAACATTGACCAAAGAACCATGAAAATGAGGTCAAGGTCAGATTAACCATGCTAGGCAGGCATGTACAGCTAACAATTCTTCCTTACAACAAATATAGTTGACCTATTGGTTATAGTTTAAGAAAAACAGACCAAAACACAAAAACTTAACACTGAGCAATGAACCTTGAAAATGAGGTCAAGGTAAAAAAAAAACCTGCATGACTGACAAATAGATCATAAAATATTTCCATACACCAAATATAGTTGAACTATTGCATATAGTATTAGAAAAAAAGACCAAAACTCAAAAACTTAACTTTGACCACTGAACCATGAAAATGAGTTCAAGGTCAGATGACACCTGCCAGTTGGACATGTACACCTTACAATCATTCCATACACCAAATATAGTAGACCTATTGCATACAGTATAAGAAAAACAGACAAAAACACAAAAACTTAACTATAACCCACTGAATCATGAAAATGAGGTCAAGGTCAGATGACACCTGCCAGTTGGACATGTACACCTTACAGTCCTTCCATACACCGAATATACTAGACCTATTGCTTATAGTATCTGAGATATGGACTTGACCACCAAAACTTAACCTTGTTCACTGATCCATGAAATGAGGTCGAGGTCAAGTGAAAACTGTCTGAAGGGCAGGAGGACCTTGCAAGGTACGCACATACCAAATATAGTTATCCTATTACTTATAATAAGAGAGAATTTAACATTACAAAAAATCTGTACTTTTTTTTCAAGTACCGTAGAAAGGCTTGTATAGTTCGCAGTGGTACATAGTCCGCACCCCCTTCTCCCCACGAAATTTTAGGTAAAAAAACTTTTTGTAACTGTTAGAAAAGGTCTAATGAAACTCCGGTAATTTCAAATCCTGTGCGGTCGTTTGCGGTATTTTCTTGGAAAACCCTGTTTCCCATCATCAAACAGAAGCTGAAACTGCTTGTAAATGATTCTAGAACGCTTCATGATTGTTAAAATAAGTTTAATTCACTTAAAAAACAATTTAGAAACTTGTGTATGTTTAAACAGGAAGTTTAAAAAGCACGTGTAAAAGAAGAAATTAACCGGTGAGAGTCGAAATCCGTACATAACAGATATCACTATAATACGACTTTGAAAGTAAAACAGTTCCATCCTTTTGTAAAACAGTCTTTAATATATCTATCACATTAATGTTTGAAGGGTCTTAAGCTAATACAAACCATATTAGTCAGTATGAAACACCAAAACGGAACGAACAATGACCGATTACGTTTTGTAGTTTACAAATTCTAAACTGGTTTACGGTTGTCTTTTTCACTATGTTTGTATCGTTTCAATCAAGCAGATACCAGTTTATTTCAACCAATGCATTGAAAAGAAACGAGAAATTTGTAATGAAAGGTTTAGTTTTTATATTTATCAGTATTAATTTGATATTGAATAGAAATAACTTATTAATATGGATGAGTTAAAATTATTAGTTTGAAAAATGATAAGAGCGCCCTCTACAATATAAATAACAAAGATGGCGGAACGTAAACAAACCACCTCGCCCGCGAAATTGAAATTTTTCTCTTATTTCTTGCTTATTGTACTCTATAGTCCGCACCCCGTCTGGAAGGTCCAATTTTGGAGAATAAAACCACGGACTATACAAGCCTTTCTACGGTAGTCACTGAACCATGAAAATGAGGTCAAGGACATTGGACATGTGACTGACAGAAACTTCGTAACATGAGGCATCCATATACAAAGTATGAAGCATCCAGGCCTTCCACCTTCTAAAATATAAAGCTTTTAAGAAGTTAGCTAACGCCGCCGCCGGATCACTATCCCTATGTCGAGCTTTCTGCGACAAAAGTCGCAGGCTCGACAAAAAACTACTCAGCAACAAGAACTATAAAATTATAGAAAACTTTATTTTGTATTCATATACTGAAAAATTGCACTTAAATGAATGGCAGTGACTTATAGTTATCACTATGACTGGTCTTCACTCTTTCCTATAGAAATCGTACAATAACTTGAGTTTGCTTTGAACAATTTGAATTTATGAGAATTTTTAAAAACATGGTTCCTCAATGAAATAAACATAAAAGTTATTGAAGAACTGGTCATTATCGTGATACATGGACTGCCCGTAGGACAGTGGTATTGACTGCGACAGGGATAATGACCTCGCCTAGGGCTCAGTCATTATCGCTGTCTTAGTCAATACCACTGTCCTGTGGGCAGTCTATATATCACGATAATGACCAGTTCTTCAATAACTATTATATAAATATACTGAATACAGTATTCAGTATATATACAAAATCTCGTCTTGTACCTGTGCATAGAAAATGAGCAAAATGCGTCAACTTCATATTTTTTTCGTCCATTGGTCCATCAGGATTCATGATGTTCTTCAAAAAAATTCATCATATCGTAATTATCCATAAAATCAATGTTATATTTTGCACCAATGTGATCACATTTCACATATTTTACAGCTAATGCACTGCACGGTTGTCAAAAAGCCATGTTTGTTTATCTAAAATCTTGGTCCTTGAAACACTTTACTTATCCATATTGGTTGTTATTATCAAACGTTTTGAAGATCTGTAGTATTCAAAACGAATAATTGGATCCGGACAGACCGAAAAATCTGGAATTTTAATATTTTTAAACATTTTTGTCAATGAAATGTTTAGGGTTGGTGTCGGAAACGGAGGTAGGGTCGGGATACCGAAAACACACTATTTATTTATTTTGGCCTTATGAACAAAACAGCAATAAAGAAAACAAACCTGCATCACCTTTCTCTGTTGGTTTATCAGACGACCAACCTGACTGCATGCTGTTTAAGTTCTGTTGGTTTGGAGGGTCAACAACAATCTGTGGTGCAGGTCCTTGGTCTCCTGCATATCCTTGTCCCTCCTAGAAATACATATAATTTTACATAACAACCCTTCTTACTTGTGAAAGACAGATAAACCTAGAAAACTAATACAAGAAGAAGAGCCCTAATACATGGTCATATTGCAGACCATTTACGGAACTGTATGATAAGCATATTTGACTATAATGCAAAACAAACATGTAAAATTCATTCCAAGTATGTAGTGGAATTTGCAATCACACAACCATATATCAAAAAATTTTATAATTTGTTATAAAAAAGTTTGAACAATCAATATATATATTTTTTTCATTTTCATAGAAATGTGACATTTCCTTTTATTATACTTCACGTAAAAATGCAATATTTTGATTGGCTTATATGAGGGTGTTAATTTACTCTATTCTATGGTAAATACTCTATTATCCTTCACGGAGACGCTTGATCAAGTGTGCGCTTTATTAAATACGACTCTATCCTATGGCAAATACTCTATTACCCTTCACGGAGACGCTTGATCAAGTGTGCGCTTTATTAAATACGGATGGTTATGTACAAGACGTCATAGTTTATTACTTTGAATTTGAAATTTAATCGACAGTAATAACAGAACATTCAGTATGATAAATTAAATAACACATATCTGAGAGGGTGATAGAGCAGATTGTTACCCCTCGAAAAGACATTGTCAACCTTGGCTTTCCTCAGTTGATAATGTTTTCTCGGGGTAACAATCTGCTCTATCACCCTCTCAGCTATGTGTTATTTATATAGTATATATCTAGTACTTATAAACCATTTAACATTCCAGTCTTAATAAAATGCTCCGCTGGGCGCAGCTTGATACGACTGCAGCGGTCGAACCCTGAACAGTTGGGGCAAGTATGGACACAACATTCAAGCTTGATACAGCACTGAATTTGGAATGTGATTAAATATTTGACACAGCATAGGTTTCTGACACAGAATGAATGTGGTCTTAGAACTTAAAAATCTTTAATTTACCTATTCAAACCATATTATTATTATTTGCTTTTATATATAAATCAGAAATAACCAATTTAAAATGGAAAATTTTAAGGAAAAAAAAATCCCCCCCCCCCAATTTTTTGAACCCCCTTATGATTCATCAACCCAAACTCAACTTGTTTTTTTTGCCCCTTTTTGGTCCTTATTTCCAAAAATGTTGAGGCAATTACCCTCAAAATCAATCCCAGCCTTCCCTTTGTGGTATGGTACCTTGCAGTACAATTTCAGAGAGATCTATACACTTGAACACAAGTTATTGTCTGGAAACTAGAAAAATACTTATTTTTGGCCCCTTATTCCTAAACGTTTTGGGCAATTACCCATAAACTTAATTCCAGCTTTCCCTTTGTGATATGGACCTTGTAGTACAATTTCAGAAAGATCCATAGACTTACACACAAGTTATTGTCATGAAACTAGAAAAATGCTTGTTTTTTGCCCCCAATTCCTAAAATTTTGAGGCAATTACCCCCAAAATCAATCCAAGCATTCCCTTTGTGATATGGAATCTTGCAGTACAATTTCAGAGAGATCCATACACTTGAACACAAGTTATTGTCTGGAAACTAGAAAAATGCTGATTTTTAGCCCCTTTTTGGCCCCTTATTCCTAAACATTTTGGGCAATTACCCCCAAACTCAATTCCAGCTTTCCCTTTGTGATATGGAACCTTGTAGTACAATTTCAGAAAGATCCATAGACTTACACACAAGTAATTGTCATGAAACTAGAAAAATGCTTGTTTTTTGCCCCTAATTCCTAAAATTTTGAGGCAATTACCCCAAAAATCAATCCAAGCATTCCCTTTGTGATATGGAACCTTGTGGTACAATGTTAGAGAGATCCATACACTAACACACAAGTTATGTCTGGAAGTTACAAAAATGCTTATTTTTGGCCTATAATTCCTTAACTGTTGGTACCATAACCCCCAAAATCAATCCCAACCTTCCTTTTGTGGTATTGAACCGTAGGGTAAAATTTCATAGAGATCCATTCACTTAAACTAAAGTTAGAGTGCGAAAACCAATGTGCCGATGTCATACCAATATACGACAGCAAAAAAAATTTTGCGGTCGTATAAAAATATTAAAATTCATCAGCAATATCATTAGTCTCAATGACATGCATTCTTGACAACAGCTTTGATAGTTCTCATTATTTTTTATTCACAATAACTAAGTTTTCAGAAAATTGTATTATTGTACAATTCAAAATTGCAATGCTTGAAATGTTTTGTCAAGTCAAGTTATAGGATGCACTTTGTAAATACAGCTGTTTCTCAAACCACGCCTCTTTTGGGGAGATATATAATATTCATAGATATGTTAATTTGTTAATGTACTGAATCCCATTTATGATCTGTGTGTTTCATCTCATAGAGACATCACTTGGGAATGTAACCAGTATAGAAAAACATGGTAGCGCCTAAATTTTAATTCTTAGGAGGTCCAAATATGAAGGTAAGGGTAGTATAGAATTTTAGTATAAGTTTAAACTCTAAGAAGTTCAGGGCATATAAATGTTGAAAATATGCCGCACAGCCCTATATTTTGACCTTTGAATAAAATAGTAGTGCATATAAACTTTCCGTTCTGGGATATTATTTTTCACGAAACTTCATAGTAAAAGTGTCACAGTTTTAGCCGCAAAGGGAGTTCCTATGGGAAATTGCATTGTCTATATTTACAGAATTGCAACCTATAAGCATACCTGTCCTGGTGCTCTTGTTTGAACAGTATGCTGTACAGGATAACCACTTTGTCTTGGCATGCCTGAAACTAAAATATCAGATTATTTTTTTCAAGCATATCAATAAAAAAATATCAAAAAACTTTTGCACTGTAGATTTTGTAATTAAAATAAGTGATTGTGAAATTCCAAAAACAAAGAATGTTTACATATTTCATTTTCACCTAGAGGAGGGACGACACTCTGCACGCAGATTTGTCTTATATTATCTATCGGTCGCAGTGATAATGTGTCATTTGTAATTGTTACAACCAGTCATGGTGTGAACATCTGGACACTCGAAATTTTTGAATGAGATCATAAACATGAGCAGTAATATACAATTGTAATTATTATACAATATTCTTACATGTATATAATAAACAAATTTGGTAACTGTCATTATTTGTTGGGAATATACATATTTATTCCTTTATTAACTCTGCTAATTCCCATGGACTTATTTCGTACGGCATGTACAGTAATTGAATACTCCCTTAATGAATTCATTTAATTGATTTTCAGTTTTTATTCAGGACAAAATTTTATTAAATACGAAATTATCGATACATTTGCATTGGAATTTCTTAATTTATCAGTACAAAAAAAAACCTGAGAAAATACTAAAGATAATGCAAAAAATACATAACAAAAAAATTTAAAAGCTATTTTACATGGTTCTGGTGAACAAGTTTCATTTTGTCTTTAATATAATTAAAATACACAAAACAATGGTTTTTGTGACTATTTTTTACGTATTTATTCACGGATCTGACAAATATAATTGGACAATTTATTTGAAAATCGTCGTTTTTTAACGACTTACTATGCAGCAACTGATGGAGACTTAAGGAGACCTTTTATGTGCAAGGTTGTATAAACAATATTATTTAGCTGCTATAAATGTCAATGATTTTCACATTCGAATTAATGAAATATTAACAAAAAATTGTGCCTTGTATTTTTACAGAGATCAAATACAAATTCCCGCCATTATGGGACATAATCTTTAATGATATAATTTACCAAAAAGAAGTAAAATAAATGGGGAATGTGTCCATGGGACACAGATGATGCCCCCGCTTGCATATAACATTATAAAGGGACATAACTGAAGAAATGTTAAAGTGATGCTACCCAATTTGTACTTGATCTGAATTTTGTGGTAAAAAGCATTGTTTATAAGTTTCATAACATTTAGTTGATGCAAACTTAAGAGAACGGAAACGAATATTTCAGCAAATTTTCCATTTGTAAAGGGGCATAACTCTAGAACAGTAAAAGTGACACCACTAAAATTTTTGATCTGTGTTTTGTGGTAATAAGCATTGTGTATAAGTTTCATAACATTTGGTTGAGGCAAACCAAAGATAGAGAACGGAAATGAAAAATTCTGAATTTTTTCCATTTGTAAAGGGGCATAACTCTAGAACGGTAAAAGTGATGTCACAAAAATTCAAACTTGATCTGTGTTTTGTGGTTAAAGCATTGTGTATAAGTTTCATAATATTTGGTTGAGGCAAACTAAAGTTAGAGAACAGAAACCAATTTTGGGACGTACAGACGGACAAGGGTAAAACTTAATGCCCCCTCCGCTACGGCAGGGGCATAAAAACATTAAATATTTTATGTCAAAGTAATTTTCGATCATTGTTAAATTTTGTATGAGAAAACTTGCTATATTTTATATGACTGCAATAGAGTACATTTGATATCAAGACATGTACAAATCAATCTTTTTGAATATTTGAAATTGACAAAACAGAAGCTGAAATCGTACCATGTGACCTGAAAATTTTTGCACAAAGCACCTAGGTGTCGTTCCTCCTCTGATTTTCACCATAAAAAACCATTGTAGGATATTTGAAGATTGAATGGATCATGAAATACCTTGCTTCGAGGGACAAACTAAAATTCAAGCCATAACTACTAAGTGGGATTAAAAATGATCCACTAGACTACCAAAAATACTATTTACCCTCACAACCATGACAACATGGAGATAAATCAGTCAGAACAAATTTATATTTTATTCATTATTGTGTGTTTCCTTTTTCCTTAGACCAGTCAATTTTATGTCTCTCATTGGAAATTATTTCCACTTTACTTGCGTTTTTGTAGAGGGTAATCAGTATCTTTTAATAAGCCTGTCTCCTTACTGAACAAAATTTTATACCAGGCTTACTCTTATTACTTATTCAAAAGCCTCAGGTTGGCGGACTACTGTATATTTTGAAACAGGCTAAAACAGTGGTTATAAAGTCTTAAAATCCTTGTTTTAACTGAAAGAAATTGTAACATCTATGCAAAGAAACCACAAACAAATATACTACAATACACTTCTACAACTTTGTTGCATATAAACAACAGAACTTACTGTTTTGTGGTGGTCTGTATTTGAGAAAGCCATCCTGGGTACCATTCAGGTAATATTGAACACACTGTTTGAATTTAGCAATTAATTCTGTCTTCTTCCTGCAAAAGCAAATTCATTTTCTTCAGAAATGCAAATCAGTCAGTACATCACAAATTTCTAACACATTTTCATTTCATTTGTTGCAGTAAATTTTTCAAATGAATAGGAAATTTGTTTAGATATTACATATACATATATATATGACAGGGTAATTCTTAAAAGTTTAAACAATGATTATTTTCAGAATTAATACTGTGAACATTATCAGATTGATTTTGGTTAAACCTAAGACTAGAATGCTTTCTTTTTAATGCTGATAAAATTAAACACAACTCAAAAAAAAAAACATTGGAAAAAGGAATAAATCAGAGACAAGTCAAATACCTGAAAATCTGTTCTCCAACAGTATCCAAATTATCTACTGATGCTAAATTACGAACAAATTTTACAGCTGCTTCAATACAATTCTCTGGAGTAAACTGCAAGACAAAAGTTTGAAGAATACAACTACTGACAACTCGAGAGTTTGTGAACATGATGGCCCAGGGATCACCACAGATAACATTTAACGGTGGAGTTTATATTTTAACTTTTAAAAAATATTTTAAAATTTCATACATTTTGCGATACAGTACTCATAGATTATATATGTATGTATCTTAATTTTATGACAAAACAAGAGGCTGTCAGAATGACGCGACTAATTTTTATTACATTTACATGTGTAATTTTTAAGGCAATGTGGGGTCGCAACTCCCGAATGGCAATAGTTAAAATCATCAATCAAACTTGACTTTAATAGTAACAATATATTAAAGTTGAAAAGTGTCATTTTCGAACCAATCAATGACAGAACAGGAAAACGGAAAATCCTCAATATCGAACTTGACCTCATTTTGTCATCAGTAATAACATGATATTTAAATTTGAAACACATTTGCTTAACAGTTCATAAGTCATAAGAAACAACTGTAACCCCAAATAAATACCTGGAATTCCATAGGAAAATCTGAATAAAAATTCAAACTTATTCAATGAAAATTATACTGATTAAGAAATATTTTCAAAAAAATAAAAGGGAGGAGCATTCCAATTAAATAGCCTGTGGTGATTACTGACTGCACCAGTGTGATAGTCAAAACAAGTAAAACACCAATAATTTCAAAATGATCCGAAAAATTTGTCTTTTTTATGTTGATAGTGATTTTTTTTTCAGAAATTTAACTGTCACCTGGACCAAATATTCACACCAAACACCTTTGCAAACTCTGATTATCTGTCTGACTTAATTTTTCCATTATTCTATGAATACTGTAATGTGCACTAGTTATTGCTGAACAATTTATTTGGTAAAAGTTTTAAATTCAAAATTCAAAAAATAATCATTAAAATTTAAATAGAAATATTTGTAAACAATAAAATTATATGTAAATGTGCAAAACAATATTTATGGAAAAAGACAACATTATTCCATTTAAATAATGAATTGTGCTTGAATGCATTGAAAGCTGCAAGCCGGAATTGCACCCTGACACCAGCTTGAATGACCCAAGATTGCATTATCGTTCCTTTAATTAAGTGTACACAGGCCAAATGAAAAATGTCAATAAAATTTGTTCTTCTGGATATTGTTATTATCATCTGAACATAACTTGACTGATTAGCTATTATCTTTAAATGTAAGCACCAACCACAGACAAGTCAGTCTTGCGAACATCATACCATCCTCTAAATAAATGAAATAATAGGTAGAGTCAAAACAATGTTTTGGACTAATTCATAATATGAACACATCACTGAAAATATACCTTAATAGGTTGTCCACCATCTGGCTGTGTGCTGTTTAGTAAATTTCTGTAGAAGTCATACAAGTCTGCATCTGGTAGGATGTGATTTCCTGGAAATAATGGAACATATAGTTCTAACTGTTAATACCCACTTTAATACGTGTACAATAGTCTGATAACTGATAAACATGTACATGAAGTACACAAATATAACAAAAAAAATCATAAATATATGTTCAATTACAGTTCTATCTCTGCCAAAAATAATGTCAAGCTCATTTCATTTTGCATCAATATAGCTTGTTCAAAGTTTAGAAAACCGGACGGAATCGACTGTTACACAGTAACTGGTTCTTAATTTTTTTTAGAGTGAACAATATTGTTATAAAATTATTACAGAATGAATGACTTTACCTGAACTATAACATCAGACTACTTCTAAAGAATGAAAAAAATATATATATAAATCACTGAACTTCAACCAAACTTCTTTTTTCTATTTTTAGTAACAGAGACCTTGACCTTTCACCCAAAAATCAATAGGTGTCCATCCCTTTCCTATATTATTTTCTTCCAATCAAGCTAACATCTGGAAACCATTTTTATATTTTCATTTTTTGCAACAGTTATCTTTGACCTATTGTATTCGCCTAAAATTAAAGGCTTCTTCCCATTCCCTTCGTCTCCCATCTGTATATAGAGACCAAAGGTTATATAAATTTTGTAATAAACTTGATGTTTAATATATTTTTTTCTAGATTGTAAACTACAAAATGTAAACTCAACATTAAGAGATCAGTTATTTTAAAAAATCACTTCAATTCTTAACCACTATTCCAGCTAAAACAACTTTTACATACTGAATCTAAACTTTTGACAGCACTCAGCAGTACTAGTTGATACCTTTATAAAGCGATCTTTTGTTGCGAATATACGGTCCATGTTCATCAAAACTTAAATTAATATAACTATGTTTCAGTTTTATATTAACTTGCAACTCTTGACTGTTGCATTAATATTGTGTTATATTTTATGTTTTTTTTGCTTGACCTATATGGGGTTACAGTTTTACTTTGCAAATAAAATTATCATTATGCATTTATTATACTGTAGCTTGATCTAGCTCCCATCAATATTTATTTTCAGTGTACAAATTTTGTATGTGTATAATTTTCAAAATGGCTTCTTGTGTAAGTTTCAGATTAGTGGTCATACCCCTAAACTTACCCAATAATGCTGCAAATATGCAGAATCTGTTGGGGTTCAGGTTAAGATTTTTTGCAATTTCATCCATGATGTATTCTTTGGTTTCTAAAGAACCTTTATAGGTCAGTTTCAGGTTGTGTGATGAAAAATAGCGTGGTGGATCAAATATTGTGTATACTGCATCCTGTGCAAGGATTCCTTGAAGCCCATGTTCTCTGCAATAACCAATAACCTCTTGCTCATGGTCATCCATGGAACATGCAACAGTAACACCTAGCTGTCGCAATGCCATTCTAAGCGCACCATGTAGGAACACTGGTGGGATCCACCAAATTTTGGGAGGTGGTGTTCCTTTGTTGTTAACATGTCGCAAGATGGACTGTACCTTCTTCTTTTCCATACTCTGACTTGCAAACCAATCATTCATTTTTTGACTCTCCAAGGATCCATTGAAGAAAACTACCAGTTCCATGTTAGCTGCTTGACAAGCCTGGATTAGGCTGTTTAAATAAGATGTCATCCTATTCCATTGACCCCCACATACCCAGTCTGAAAAGTAGCCTCCATAAAGTCGATCTAAACAGCTCTCTGCATCTACAACAAGGCAGAATCTGGATGAACCTGGATACCTGCCACGCCTTTTTGGTACAAAACCCCTAGATATTTTCAGCAAATCAACTGACACACAGGCACTAGAGCAGTGCGTCTCAATATAATCTTGCAGAGATTTAATTCCCATAGTTGCTACCTTATTTCCAAAGTTAAATGATTACTTCATTAGTTTTTATATGCCAAAAGAAAAAATTCCGTAAACAGAGCACTAAAATTGAAGAAAATGAAAGGAATTTGACCTCATTCAGCGGCCATGTGCTTCTTCCTAGCGGCTCTGACACCCTTTGACATGCGTGTTGATGACGCAAGGCCCGGATGGATTTCCCATGTTGCATTTCGAAATCTTTCGGTATAAATTGACTTGTACTATCAACTTTCAGTAAAGTCTAGAGAATTTGAAAAGTGAAATTGTAAACAAAAATAATATGGCAGAGAATACGTTTCAACCAGGAACAGGTGTAGCTCCTGCTACTCTAGTCGAGTTGTCGATTTCTTGTCGGTAAGGATTAACTGCATTAATACTCACAAATGTTAAAAAAATGTACGCCAAGCTCATTATAGAAAAAGGTTTAGAGAATGCATCTTTTTATTTGTGCATCAAAATAAACATTTCGAAATCAACATCTCTGATTTGACATAAACAAATGAATTAAAAAATGCGTAAAAAGACAAGTTTAAAAGTTAGATTAATAAATTCTAAAGGCCACCAATTAAACTTACATGGTGTAATGACAATAATCACAGAATTGATTACCAGGTGTACATGTCCGACTGGCAGCTTTCATCTGACCTTGACCTCATTTCCATGGTTCACTGGTCAATGTTAAGTTTTTATTGATTTGGTCTGATTCTCAGATACTCTAAGCAATATGTCAAGTATATTTGGTGTGTGGAATGATTGTACCGCCTACATGCCTGACTGGACTGGCAGGTTTCATCTGACCTTGACCTCATTTTCATAGTTCATTGAATTGGTCAATGTTAAGTTTATGTGGTTTGGTCTGTTATTTGATACTATAAGCAAAAGGTCAACTTTATTTGATGAATGGTATAATTGAATGGTGTACATATTGTCTGGCAGGGTTCATCTGACCTTGACCTCATTTTTATGATTCATTGGGGAATTTTCAATTTCCACAATATTAGGTGTATGGTATGAAGTTCAAATATGATAAACAAAGCAGGTGAGATATTTCAGCCCTCTTGTTTTATTACTGATAGATTACCAGTACTGCTATACTGCCATAAATTCTGATTTAAGTTTTCCCTAAATATTTTCTTGACAATGAATCTGTCTGGAAGTAATCTTTTAAATATTAATAGTTGACCAAATGTTTATTTAGCACTGTCAACTCAGTCTTTTCCAATCCTCTAATTTTTCCATGTTTGTCCTGTTTCTGAAATAACTTTCATATCATCAGGTAGTTTGAGACCAAAAGTTTGGAAAGCCAAAAGCATATATTAAAAATGTTTAAAAAAAAATTCAAAATGTAAATACATGTACACAGAAATAAATCTTAAAAGTTGAAACCTTACAAACAACCTTTTCTATATGAGGAAGACTAACAAGCTTTTCTATACCAGGAAGATTATATGTTACAATTTACACTTTTTAGATTTTTTTCTTAACAATTATATTGTCATTTCAGAAATCTAATAGATTCAGATGTATTTTCAAAATCAGACCCAAGTAAGTACATGTTGTATTAATGAATAAAAATATATTAATGTTCAAGAATAAGCAGTATTGAAACATATATCTGAGCACCTGAGATAACCCTTGGTTTTTGGTGGGGTTTGTGTTGCTCATTCTTTAGTTTTCTATGTTGTGTTTTGTGTACTGTTGTTTGTCTTTTAGTCTTTTTCTATTTTTGCCATGGTGCTGTCAGTTTATTTTCGACTTTCGTATCTTTCGCCCCTCTTTAAGGAAAAAAATGTAATTACAGGGGGTATTAAGGGGGAGATATAAAAAAAATGTAATTACTGGGGGTTGTAAGGGGGAGATAAACACATGGAAGAATGTTAAATAAGTTTTTAGATCATGATGAATGGAAATATGTTTAACAGTGCTTTATTGTCTCCCCTTAGATAAAAGTTTCAGATTGTAAAGTGTATTATTTTGAAGTCCCTTGGTGTCAACAAAGACAAATAATTGTATAATGCTTCAAAAAGACGAGATATATTTTCAATTTGCATATATAGATGATCCTCTCAACCATGACCTCATTTTCATGGTTATTGATCAACATTTAAAGTTTTCATGCTTTGGTCAATTTCTTATTTACTATCAGTAACATGTGAACTTTATTTTGTCTATTTGAATGGTTGTTATGTGTACATATAAAAAAGAAGATGTGGTATGATTGCCAATGAGACAACTCTCCACAAGAGACCAAATGACACATGTCCATCAGAAAGGAGTGACCTGACCTTGACATATTTTCATGGTTCAGTGGTCATCATATGGTTTTCTTGTTAAGGTCAATCTCTCATTTGGGTCAATATCCCTAATGCGCCTCAAAATGAGGAACTCAAAAGTTTTGTGTAAACAAAAAATCTCTGTGTAGTGATATTTGACACGTTTCTATAATAAACAAGTGACTGAGCTTAACCATTTGTGTTGATATAGAAAGTAGGGGAACATAGAATAAATGTGTAAAAACTATGGAGCTATTATAATTAAATGTGTTCAAAGTATTAAATTTTCAAAGAACTTATTGTGTTAAAAAAGGGATTTTTATACGACCGCAAAAAAATTTTTGTGGTCGTATATTGGTATGACGTTGGCGTCGTCGTCGTCGTCGTCGTCGTCGTCCGGCGTCGTCGTCGTCCGGCGTCGTCGTCCGAATACACATTAGTTTTCGCACTCTAACTTTAGTTTAAGTAAATGGATCTCAATGAAATTTTACCATAAGGTTCAATACCACAAAAGGAAGGTGGGGATTGATTTTGGGGGTTATGGTACTAACAGTTAAGGAATTAGGGGCCAAAAAGGGACCAAAAATAAGCATTTTTGTAACTTCCAGACATAACTTGTGTGTAAGTATATGGATCTCTCTGACATTGTACCACAAGGTTCCATATCACAAAGGGAATGCTGGGATTGATTTTGGGGGTAATTGCCTCCAAATTTTAGGAATTAGGGGCCAAAAAGGGGCAAAAAACAAGCATTTTTCTAGTTTCATGACAATAACTTGTGTGTAAGTGTATGGATCTCTCTGACATTGTATCACAAGGTTCCATATCACAAAGGGAATACTGGGATTGATTTTTGGGGGTAATTTCCTCCAAATTTTGGGAATTAGGGGCCAAAAAGGGGCAAAAAACAAGCATTTTTCTAGTTTCAGGACAATAACTTGTTTGTAAGTGTATGGATCTTTATGAAATTGTACTGCAAGGTTCCATATCACAAAGGGAAAGCTGGGTTGGAGTTTGGGGGTAATTGCCCTAAACGTTTAGGAATTAGGGGCCAAAAAGGGACAAAAAAACAAGCATTTTTGTCGAGCCTTCGACTTTTGTCGAAAAAGCGAGACATAGCGATCCTACATTCCGTCGGCGTCGTCGTCGTCGTCGTCGTCGGCGGCGTCCACAAATATTCACTCTGTGGTTAAAGTTTTTGAAATTTTAATAACTTTCTTAAACTATCCTGGATTTGTACCAAACTTGGACAGAAGCTTGTTTATGATCATTAGATAGTATCCAGAAGTAAATTTTGTTGTAAAAAAAAAATTCCAGTTTTTCCGTATTTTACTTATAAATGGACTTAGTTTTTCTGCCAGTTTACATTACATTCACTCTGTGGTTCATGTTTTTAAAATTTTAATAACTTTCTTAAACTATCCTGGATTTGTACCAAACTTGGACAGAAGCTTGTTTATGATCATAAGATAGTATCAAGAAGTAAATTTTGTTAAAAAAAAATTCCAGTTTTTCCATTTTTTACTTATAAATGGACTTAGTTTTTCTGCCAGTTTACATTACATTCACTCTGTGGTTAAAGTTTTTAAAATTTTAATAACTTTCTTGAACTATCCTGGATTTGTACCAAACTTGGACAGAAGCTTGTTTATGATCATAAGATAGTATCCAGAAGTAAATTTTGAAAAAAAAAATCCTGTTTTTCCGTATTTTACTTATAAATGGACTTAGTTTTTCTGCCAGTTAACATTACATTCACTCTGTGGTTAAAGTTTTTAAAATTTTTATAACTTTCTTAAACTATCCAGGAATTTTACCAAACTTGGACAGAAGCTTGTTTATGATCAAAAGCTAGTATCTAGAAGGAAATTTTGTAAAAATTTATTTCCTGTTTTTCCGTATATTACTTATAAATAGACTTAGTTTTTCTTCCAGTTAACATTACATACAGTCTCCAGTTAAAGTTTTTAAAACATTTATTAGATTCATAAACCATCCTGGATTTTTACCAAACTTGGACAGAAGCTTCTTACAATCAAAAGATAGTATCTAGAGGAAAAGTTTAAATAATTTTTCCCCATTTTTGTTGACATAGCGATCCTACATTCTGTCGTCGTCTGAATTAAGGGATAAATCATCAAACAATGTAAAAATTATCTTCTTTATCATTTGTTCATTCAATCAATTTATGTTTCAACTCTTTTTTAAATCTATAGATTTGATTCCATACTGTATTCATTTTTACAAGCATAACTTTTTTCATACATTTCAAACGTTTTATTTCATTAACTGTAAATCTATTATGTGCATTCCCCTATCACACTGAAAACATAGATAACAGCAAAAGTAGGCGAGACACTGGGTTCCGCGGAACCCTTACGAATTTTTCTAGTTTCCAGACAATAACTTGTGTTCAAGTGAATGGATCTCTCTAAAATTGTACTGCAAGGTACCATACCACAAAGGGAAAGCTGGGATTGAGTGTGGGGGCGATGAATCATAAGGGGGTTCAAAAAATTTGGGGGGGGGATTTTTTTTTCCTTTTTTTTCTTTAAAATTTTCCATTTTAAATTGGTTATTTCTGATTTATATATAAAAGCAAATAATAATGATATGGTTTGAATAGCATACATGTGAACCTCCCGACAGGAGTACAATAATCCTGTTTTCAGGAGTCTCCTCCCGACCTCCGGTTGAAGAGGAAAATTATAATCCCGTGTATGAAATTTTTCATGAATGAAAAATTTCTGCCCAACATATCATCTCAGGCATCTGGTGTAACTCACATTACCTGAAGTTATATTTTACCTGTAAATCAATTAACATGCATAATTATATGGCTTCACTTGTCAGCTTGGGTGTCAAACATACTGGTAATCAATGATTTTTTACCTCAGGCTAACTGCCGTTGTGTAACAAAAACTGTGTATTTATTGGGTTACTTCCCTTGATTTATCCTGTTTTAAGTTACTTTCCTTTTAATAATGAAAATTTTTAAAAGAATATAAATAAAATATAAATTGAACAAATAATCATAAAAGGATGGTAAATAAATGATTTTAAATGTCTTAGGACAAATAAAAAAATAATAATTTGAAAATTATTTGAGGATTCTATACTTCCTTTCAAGGCTTAAATTGAAATTTATATAATAACTATGACCCTTGTTTTACAGTTAGAATGATTTTCTGAGTATGCAAACAAAAGCTATAAAGATAAAAAAAAAAAAAACAGATAAAAAAAGAAAACAAAAGCTATTTGCAGATAGTTAAACAAATGTTCTGGTTGCAATAAATGTTTTATAGAATATGAAGTAAAAAATTTAAAGAACATACTGAAAAAAAAAGATGTTAGATTGAACATGTAAAATATAAAGATGGAGAAACTTTATAAGTACAAGGGTACAAAACATAATAAATTGGAAAGAAAACACACTTTAAAAGACCATTTTTACAGCACACGGTTACATTTACGACAAAATTTATGTCGATTAAAAACCTCCTGATCTGAGTCCTAATCTCCTGACCAAAATTTCCCAATCTCCTGATCTGAGTTTCACAGTCCATCACATGTATGAATAGGTAAATTAAAAAATTATAAGTTCTTAGACCACTTTCATTCTGTGTCAGAAACCTATGCTGTGTCAAATATTTAATTACAATCCAAATTCAGTGCTGTATCAAGCTTGAATGTTGTGTCCATACTTGCCCCAACTGTTCAGGGTTTGACCTCTGCGGTCGTATCAAGCTGCGCCCCAGCGGAGCATTTTATTTATCACGAGGAGCCGCATCACGAAAGGATTCTCGGGGTTTGCTAATTTACGGAAAAAGTAATCTCACTTTGTACCCCGAAAATTTAACCACATATGTGAAAATGTCTCAGCTTCGAGACGAGGCATCATACATATCCAAGTTAACGATATGGACTGAGCAACAGAAGAAAATGTTACCATTACCGCCTATGGAGAAACAATTGCGAACAGTGACCCATTTATTCATTAATAATGTGGCCGACTTTTTATCTATTGAATGGTTGTAAATTGTACATGTTTCATCTGACAGGAGTCACCTGAGTTTGACCTCGTTTTCCAGGTTAAGTGATCAGCATTAAGTTTTTTATGGTGTCAGTTTTTAAGTTACTAGTTAGTTGATTATTTTTTTATATTGACTAATTTAGTGTTCTCCCCAGGTCCTTTTAGCATCATGGTAATGTGATGCTATATTTCTTGAATGTGATGCTATCTGAATTGGTTTTCTTATATATCATGTTATGGATGTGATGCTATAACTTTTAGAAACAAGATGGTATTTCAAATTTCCCTGTTCAAACCAGGATGCTAAATGAAATACCTTGTAAAAAAAGTGTTTTTTTCCCTTAAGCCGTTTTGTCCTGTATTATTTTGACCTTTGATCTTAAGGTCTAAATTATAGATTCTTTTGGTCAGTTTCTTGACAGGATCATAATTGTTTTTCTATCCTTTGACATATGCTTCTACTATATGGCACATATATGCATCACATAAAGACGTTATTGGGTGTACAAAAGTCTATTTGCCAATTACCAATTTGATTTGGTTATTAAACACTTTAAACACAAGTTCTTCCTTTTGCCAATATAGACTGGTTCGATATATGGTATACTGAAAAAATTGGGCTGCCAATGAAAACACTTTACATTTAACATGTTTTAATTTCTAAATTTTTTTATTTTAGTTGGTGTGGTGTTTGAGATGGATAATGTCAACAAACAATACAGAGAAGTATGCATATATTTCAGATTAAATCTTTTACAAGAACACTAAAACATGAACAATCATGAATTAGATTTGATTTTAATTTATAAAAAAAGTTTAGTACTCAGGGAGTATCAGATTCTAACAAATAAAAAATATTATAATTATAAATAAAGTAAATGTCAATTTTGCACCGAGAACACTATATGAGACAACAAAGTTTGTCCTACAACCTTGAAAGTGTCAGCTTCTAAATGTGAAATACATTTCAGTGGAATTTTGTAAATTTCCCCGTGAAACTTAAACTTTAATAACTGATCTGTTTGTTTATGTTTGAACACATTTTTAATGAGCAACTAGAAGTTATTTAGTTTTTTTTTTCTGCAACATGACATAATGTTTCTCTTTTTCAGTTGGGAAGAACTGAAATTATCTGGAATAACTTGAATCCAGACTTTGTAAAGAAATTTGTGATGCATTACTACTTTGAACAAAGTCAAAAACTGAAATTTGAAATGTAAGTTTAAAAGTTATTGTTTTATTATTATTTTTTCATTTTTATACGACCGCAAAACATTTTTGCGGTCGTTTATTGGTATGACGTTGGCGTCGTCGTCGTCTGGCGTCGTCCAGCGTCGTCCGAAGACACATTGGTTTTCGCACTCTAACTTTAGTTTAAGTGAATGGATCTCTATGAAATTTTACCAAAAGGTTCAATACCACAAAAGAAAGGTTGGGATTGATTTTGGGGGTTATGGTACCAACCGTAAAGGAATTAGGGGCCAAAAAGGGGCCAAAAATAAGCAATTTTGTAACTTCCAGACATAACTTGTGTGTTAGTGTATGGATCTCTCTGACATTGTACCACAATGCTCCATATCACACAGGGAATGCTGGGATTGATTTTGGGGGGTAATTGCCTCAAAATATTAGGAATTAGGGGCCAAAAAAGGGGCAAAAAACATGCATTTTTCTAGTTTCATGACAATAACTTGTAAGTGTATGGATCTTTCTGAAATTGTACTACAAGGTTCCATATCACAAAGGGAAAGCTGGAATTGAGTTTGGGGGTAATTGCCCAAAATGTTTAGGAATAAGGGGCCAAAAAGGGGCCAAAAATAAGCATTTTTCTAGTTTCCAGACAATAACTTGTGTTCAAGTGTATGGATCTCTCTGAAATTGTACTGCAAGGTACCATACCACAAAGGGAAGGCTGGGATTGAGTTTGGGGGTGATGAATCATAAGGGGGTTCGAAAAATTTGGGGGGGGGGGGGGGGGGGGTTTTCCTTTTTTTTTCTTTTTTTCCTTTTTTTTTTCTTTTAAAATTTTCCATTTTAAGTTGGTTATTTCTGTTTTATATTTAAAAGCAAATAATAATGATATGGTAGGAGATACACACCAAACAGGATGTGTAAATTATTATATAATAAGTATTGTGCAATAGCAAGAAATTTTCAATTGCACAGTATTGCACAATAGCAAGAAATTGTCAATTGTACAGTATTGCGCAATAGCAAGAAATATTCAATTGCATAGTATTGTGCAATAGCAAGAAATATCCAATAGCACAATATTGCGCAATAGCAAGAAATTGTCAATTGTACAGTATTGCGCAATAGCAAGAAATATTCAATTGCACAGTATTTTGCAAAAGAAGATACTTCGTATAAATTGCTTATTTCTTGACCAATTTCAATGGGGTTTTATTCTTGAATTCTTGGGGTTCTTTAATATGCTGATTCTAACCGTGTATTAAGTTTTTGGATTTTGGGCCCCGTTTTTAAATTGGTCCACATTGAGGTCCAAAGGGTCCAAAATTAAACTTTGTTTGATTTCATCAAAAATTGAATTATTGGGGTTCTTTGATATGCCGAATCTAACCGTGTATTTAGATTCTTAATTTTTGGTTCAGTTTTCAAATTGGTCTACATTAAGGTCCAAAGGGTCCAAAATTAAACTTGGTTTGATTTTAACAAAAATTGAATTCTTAGGGTTCTTTGATATGCTGAATCTAAACATGTATTTAGATTTTTGATTATGGGCCCAGTTTTCAAGTTGGTCCAAATCGGGGTCCAAAATTAAACTTTGTTTGATTTCAACAAAAATTGAATATATGGGGTTCTTTGATATGCTGAATCTAACCATGTATTTAGATTTTTGATTTTTGGGCCCCGTTATCAACTTTGTCCACATTGAGGTCAAAAGGGTCCAAAATTAAACTTTGTTTGATTTCATCAAAAATTGAAATCTTGGGGTTCTTTGATATGCTGAATCTAACCATGTATTTAGATTTTGGATATTGGACCATAATAGGTGAATGTCCAATTTAAAATTTTTAAGTTCTTAGACCACATTCATTCTGTGTCAGAAACCTATGCTGTGTCAAATATTTAATCACAATCCAAATTCAGAGCTGTATCAAGCTTGAATGTTGTGTCCATACTTGCCCCAACTGTTCAGGGTTCGACCTCTGCGGTCGTATCAAGCTGCGCCCCAGCGGAGCATTTTATTTGCTTGATGTATTTAAAAGTTTATTCAGATAACTTCATTTTGTTTACTAAGCCCAAAAGAGCACTATGTTCGAAAGGTAAATATACCTCTATCTCAGATATTTTAATAAAGCACTAACGACATTCCCGACTTTCCCCTGTCTCATGGTTGCCATAGTTTCATTGAATTGACTTTTGTCAGTAATGTCAGTGGGAAAATTAATAAGCAGGTTCAAAAATATATTTAAGGGATCTGTAGCATGCTTTTAAATTTATTCAGCTGTGCTATAATGTACCAGTACATATATTTCTGTAAAGACCTTGATCCCTTTTGTGTTTTATGATTGATTATATTTACATTACAGATATGATGTTGATTCCAAATCAGCTGACCTGTCGAAACATGTAAGTATTTGTACCAGAAATTAATAGTGCAACTATAAATAATACAATTATCATTAATGATTGATCAGTAGAAATTGAGAAATGAAATCAATAAAGAGAAATTTTAGCACAGAAAAAAAGTCTGCTGAAGTTATTATATAATCAACCAAACTTTGTAAAAAATTGTTTCAGAGATTTAAAATCATTTTCTTTTTTATTTAAAATATGAAAACATTCATAAAGTACCATACTATTATAATATATGAAGTTAAATTATTTTTTTCCAACATACATATTGATTGAATTTGTATATTTGCAGGACTTTTTAGGAAGAATGGAATGTACACTTGGAGAGATTGTTGCTTCAGGGACCAGATACACCAGGAGACTTCTGTAAGGTTTATTTTCAAATGTTTTGTTTGTTTAAACAGAAGGGATACAGATTTGGTTGTTGCAAAAAAAATGAAATGATTATATGCCACACAAAATATATATTTTGTGATATATCTATTTTATGAGATGCTCAACAAACTTTTCTTATTGTAAATGTCTCTTTGCATGGCCTATTTTGTTGTTACACATCAACTGTCAGGGTCAGACTGATATGAGAATTCAGTTACCGTGTCCTGACAATCTAGTAAATGATAATGCAGACACTATCACAAAAACAGGAAGTAAATAAACTGTTGCCTAGTAGACAGAGTAGTGTTTTGTGACCTTTAATAGTAATCATTTACACCTACAATCAGTGGTAATGTCACAATCTCATATTGCAATATAAGCCCACAAATTGATGCATTTATGTTGTCACTTGTTGATATCACACTCTGTTCAGTGTGAAACAAGAGATATCTCTTCATGCAGGAAATAGATAATTAGCCACAAGGAGAAGAGAATCCTGCGATAATAATGCAGATCTGTTAATTATATACTACACAGGAAAATTGACTGTTGCCTTTAGTTGAAAAGCCACAAAAATGGACGCAATAATAAAAATTGATAACATTTAGATTTTACTAAAAAAGGCAGTTCAATTTATAATAGAGTAGATTACTTTAAAAGTAAACTGCAAACATCCAGTTATCCTTATAATAGCAGGCAAAACTGTCAATTAGAATAAAGTAGTTCAATCCATATCTGATCATATCAAATATGACATATTTCCTGACAAAGTTTAAGTCTGCGTTGTTCAGCTTTAAATTGCTTCCTTGATGCTTTTACAAATTTGTCTGGTGATGTTGTTTATTATTCCCCTTCTGACTAGGTCGAAGGGGACTCTCTGTCTGTCTGTCTGTCCATCTGTCAGTCTGGCAAATCAGTTTTCCACACTTTTTTTCTTCGTGCTTGAAGATATTGATTTGATATTTGGTGTATTGTTTTATCGTGACAAGTTACAGATCAAGTTCGAATTTTGTTTCTGTCTGATGATTTTGTGCGGAGTTATGGTCCTTAGACTTAGAAAATTCACTCAAATAATCAATTTTCCACATTTTTTTTCATCATGCTTGAAGATATTGACTTGATATTTGTTATATAGTTTACACCATGACAAGTTATAGATCAAGTTAGCATTTTGTTCCAGTACAATGAATTTTTAACTGGTAGGGGACTATGTATTGCCAGGCAATACTCACAGAATGCTTGTTTATTTGAAAGTGTATAGGTTTAATGTTTACAGTCTTTTTCCAGAGGATCTCACACATTGACAAAATATTCAGTGAGGTTTGATAAGCTTCCATAAAAAAGACAATTTCAAAGAAGCCCCTTTTCACACACCGATTTAAATTTAGACATCAGTCACATTTTACTGCTTTAAATTTACCAAGATTTTGCTCTAATTTCTGCCAGACCCAGTCATCCTATAAGACCAAACCCTCCCCCCACAAAATTTTTTTTTCTCACCCCTTTTATTTCATTCAAAGGCTTAATTTTCAATGAAAATGAAAATATTGAATAATGAATGAGTGAAGGAACATGTTTTGTGCAACAGTAAATTGTCAGATTGATGTTGGCAAACTACAACATTGTATTTTCAACTGTTGATTGTTAGATTGATGTTGGCAAGTATTAAAATAGATTTCAATCATTCCTTTTTAAATGCAGTTGCTAAAATTAAACCTGTCAAATGAATGTTTAGATAAACAGAAACATCATCTACCATAGCCCAGAGTAATCGAAGGAAATTTATGGAATATTATACTCCCTAAAAATATTTGAGATCATCCAATGAAAATTACTGTTACAAGTGAAATGCAATGAAACTACTTATCTTCATTTTTCATTGCATTAACATCTTACACATTAATTACTTGGAAAGGTTTCATTCATGGAATTGTTTTTATTTTAAATGAGGTAGTTAATATGATTGAAAACTTTTTGAATTTTTCAGGGGACCAAAGAAAAACAGTGGGACTATAATTGGTAAGCATATAGAAATAATTCAGAATTATTGTTGTATTTACAATACAAGAGATGTTCGACACCATTATTCTTATCGAGATTTTCGTATTATTAAAATAAATGTGAAAGTCAACTCTGCTGATTGAATTTTGATATTTATTAAAGCTTGGTAAATGAGAATGTGGTAATAATATAAATGCTGTTTGTAAGAAAATTGAAATAACAAAGAATTTAAAGAGATTAAGATTGATAGTGGTTTGCTTCCAGTGTCAAAAGTTTCATGAATAATTAGTACTTATTATACAATGAGCTAGTAAGTAAGTGTACTTTATTTTAAATGCCACTGGGTAGTGGAGGCACGAAGGTGTGTTTGGGTGAGAATATTGCATTGTAGCAGTTTACCTATAGATCTGTAAAACAGTTTTTTTCATATAAGGTATCACACTTAGTTTCCTGCTACATTTAATATAGTAATTGAAATAATTTGATTATTAGATAAAATATTATTGACATTCTATTGTTAACACAAATACTATTGTATTATTTCAGTTGGTGTAGAAGAATTGAGCAGCTGTAAGGTAAAAATATGAGATTTTCTTAACTTGCACACAAAAAAGCTAAATGTGATAGTATATTAGAATTGTTTATCATTATTTAAAACAAGAGGCTTTCATGAGCTTGAATTGATAACCTTGGAAAGCTACTTTTTCATAGCTGAATAGAGTATTTACTTCATAAGAGGTTCTGTTAGTGAAGTCATAAAATGATCGATACTTCCTTGACTCCATATCAAAGATTAGAATATGCCAATGAATGTTGTTAACAAAACACCACAAAATAAAATCACATGGATATGATCTTGTTAGATGCCAAGTTAATTTTTATTCTGTAAAGTGGTTATCAAGAAGAAGATGAAAATGTGAAATCTCAAGTAACAGAAAACAGAAGAATTTAATGATGACAATATTCACCTGGTTTTTGACCAGTTGAACTAAAAGTGTTTATGTAATTAGAGAACCTTTAAGGAAAAAAGATTTTGGGCATCATTTTCCATGTGGAAAATTTAGGATACCTTATCTAGGTTGAAACTACTTCAGAGGAATTTTTTATAAATTATAAGATGGAGATTATCAGGACAGAGAAGAAGGTGATAAAAAAAAAGATTTCTTACTTTTAGATTTAAGAACTGCTTCATTTCAGTTTTAGCACAATTGGAGTGTAATGTTCCCTGTCATACAAGTTTTATCTGGTAACACAATGTTAAGCAAAATTATTTAACTTTACATTGGGTTGTTGCTGAAGGATCAATGAATCCGGACAATGATACTCTTGCTGGGTAGTTGCAGATGGTATGGAAAAGTACCATGTTTACTGCATGGAGTTCTTTGAATGTAGGTTGACAGAAGTCAGTTATTTCTGTATCACTTCTCTATTACTGCAGGGAAAAAAAATAGTGGAAATTGTTTTGAATTTCAACTATTCTTTCTGTTGATTTGTTGTAGGAACAAGGAAATTTCCAGTTTAGAGCTTCAAAGTTAGATAAGAAAGATTTCTTTGGAAAATCAGATCCTTTCCTGACCTTTTCAAGGGCAAATGAAGACCGTTCGTAAGTTACATATTATTCAGGTATAGAAGAGGTTTGTGATGAATAACTTTGAAAGGAAATGTGACAGAAGACTGAGTTTTATAGTAGTAGTCTTTTAGTAGAAGAACAGCTGTTAATCAGTAAAAAACAACATGATCAGATTTTTCAGCTAAAGGTCAGATGTAAGAAGACAGCTATCAAGATCTTTTTTGAACAGGACACTTAGATCACAACAGTCACTGTTTATTTTAAAACTTAGAAATAATGATAAAAAAAATAGCATTGAATACTTTAATCTTAGATAGGCTGATCTGGCTTATAAGATGAGGCCAATTACATCCGGAAAAAAAATGTCAGAAAAATATTGTAGTACAAACTTCAAGTCTTCAACATTTTCAGTTCATGTAACTGCAAGTTTTTTTAAAGTTTTTCCACAGAACTACATGGATTCATTTTCAAGTGAAATTGATGAGAAATTATTACTTCAACGTTTTTATTTTAGGTTTACAGTCGTTCACAGAACTGAGGTTATTAAAAAGACACTGAATCCAACGTGGAAACCTTTTACTATATCAGTCAGAGCACTTTGTAATGGGGATTATGACAGGTAATACATTTATAAGTCCCTCAGAAATAGTTGACCTTGGATGGATTTGGCTATTATTTTTAGGCACTTTTTGGTAATATAGCTCTTCAACTGTTTCAGTTCTTATACATCCTTGGTTTTCAAATATTCAGCTTTGAGCATTCCTGATGGAGGTAACTCCAGTATTTATAAAGTGTTGTTTTAATTTTTTATAAGTCTCTAGTTACCAATTGAGGTAGAACTGTTTTTTCACGAAAAAAAGGGGAATACTAAATCATAAATGTTTCTTTCTATAAGAATGAGTGTTAACTTTAATCTGCTGTAAATATTCCTCTCAACTCTTTCCCATAATGAAATGAACCTTTATTTAAGGAATGACTGTGATATTTTTTCTGTCTATGAAGAAATAACATCAAAAATGTGGTGCACACTGAATAACCCGCGTAGCGGGTTATTTAAAAGTGTGCACCACATTTTTTAGGTTATTTCGAATAGACAGAAAAAATATTACAGTCATTCCTTATAATTTAATTCTAATTTCCATTTTAAAGGAGTAAATTTTGAAAAAAAACGTTGGTGACGTCACGGTCACATGACAAAATTATGTCTATGAGCTGATAGACAAAACACTTTCAGCCAATCAGAAGACGTGTTACATCCAAAATTAAATTATTTAGTTATGAAATAAAAAGATGTGGTATGAATATCAAACAGAGTCTAAATGATGCAGATTTTGTTTGTGTTTATGGTGTTTGTTTTACATGAAAACTATAAAAAAAAAAGTAATAATGATCAGTTAAGCAAAACTTTACTTGAATGATTCTTAAGTTTAAAAAATTTCTGATCAAATAGTCCCTGGCCAGTTAAACTAGTGGTAAAAGGCATGATTCTTTAAAGTTGTAAGTCATTACAGATTTGCAAAATATTGACAAAGAACAATACTTGAACTACTGAATATATTTGACATCCATTGAATATGCTACATATTTTCACAGGTCCATAAAAGTTGAATGCTATGACTGGGATGCAGATGGAGGGTAGGTATTTATTTTATAAGATACTTGTAGACTATCTTTTTACATAGAATTGTTTAAAAAAACAATCAACTTGTAATTTACCTTCAAAGATAAAGCAGTTATAAAATATTTTGAAGCTGTTACAGCGCAGATGGCACCAGCTTTTAAGGATTTTACACAAAAATGTTTGTTTAATTCAAATTTTCACAAAACAGTCCACTATGGTAGGTGCAAATACATTTGGATCTTTTTTGTGCATTAGCATAAATTCCGCCAAAAAAAATCTGTCGAAAAAAATTCTGCAGAAAGATAAAAGATGGACCTTTTCCAAGCATTAATTTGCATCTCTGCCCCTGGCGACAGTTTTTTTTTAGAAAAAATCCTACATATAGGCAAAAACTTCATTGAATAGAGAAAGTCGAGTATACCTTTTTATGTTCAGGCGTGTTTGAGTTTACAATTTTGTCTTGATAACGTATAAATAAAAAATATTTGATACATTATCTTGCTTCAGGTTCTATTATTTTTATATATTTAGGCTACAGGTTGATATAATAACATTAAATATTCACAGTACTAAAAATGAAATATATTGGTCAAGTGAAATACCTTTCTAATGAGTCATAACAACAGAATAGGTGTGTTTGAATAACAAATTTTTACTAAAAAGTACTTGACAACAGACTTTACAAGTGGATCTTAAAAATGCATAACTTAAAAAAAAACACATAATTTTTTGTGTGTGTTATCTAGGGTTATTAGTCTTCAACGTCTGAACATTTTTAGTCTGCCCTTCCACTGAATATCTAATAAGATTTTTTTTTAAATATTTTTGAACTTTCGAAAATTCTCCCTGACAACCGATCAGACAATAGTTTTAAGTTGACTAAAGGCATAAAAGCACATTGATTGATGCTCAATAGCTAGTAGATACATTTTTCTTTGAAAATACAACTGGCATACAAGGAACGTAATGATGCTATGTGGGTAAATTTATCAGTTTTCAAGAGCTTAATTGACAGCACGTCATCCCTACAATGGCTTCCATTTTAACGATTGTAAAATTAGGTGGTGTAATGGGGAGATAATTTTGACGAAGTAGAATCCTGACTGTACCTACTAAAATACTGTGTTTGTAGAACACAAATATATGTATAATTGCCTTTGACACTTTTGTTCATATTTTATAGAGTAAAGATCAAGTATGATTGATTCCAATTGGTTTTACTTGTATACATATTACAAAGATTATTGTGATAATATTTCTTAGTTTCAATGGAAGTGGTGATCTGAAAAAAAATGTGTTTGTATATTAAGAAAGTTAACTATCTGTGTAATACAACAATTCAATTGATTGTAATCATTTGAAACCACTATTGAATTGTTTGCTTATTGCATATATTTGTATATTTCAGCCATGATTTTATTGGAGAATTCCAAACAACATTGAGAGAACTTTCAAGAGGACCAAGCCAGCAAAATATTTTTGAGGTAATTTCCTACTGAAGCATATGAACTTTCCTTCAAAAGTCATAAGAGGACTATAGATAAAAATCAGCCTTGTATAGTTCGCACTGGTACACAGTTTGTACCCCCTTCTCACCACGAAAATTCAGGTAAAAAACTTTTTGAAACTGGGTGAAAACGTTCCTTAAACTCTGGTAATATCAAATCGTATGTTATTGTTTGTGGTATTTTCATGGAAAAATTGGTTTTCCATCATCAAGTAGAAGTTGAATATGCTTTTAATTTTGCTGTCAAAATATGTCTTTGAAGGGCAAGTTTTTGGTCTCACTTGATTTTGTTACAAACCTGAAAAATTGCTTCTTTTTATCTTATTCTAGGGAATTTTGGCAAATACCACTTCAATATTACATCATGTCAGAATTGAAACATTTTGGAAGTAAAACTGATTTAAAAAAAAAATATTAACATCTTAAAATAAGTTTAATTACAATGAAAGTTTGAGAATATTGATAAAATGAGAACAAAAAGGGATTTTATTATCCCTGGTCCTTTGCTAACTTATATACATGTATAATATACAATTTTATTAATTAAAGTGTAATGACTCGTCTTTCATCTTGGATAATTTGATACATTATATATGTACGTCATACATAATTTTGTAAATTATAGGGTAATAGTTTTCCCTTTAGGTTTGGGTTTTAACTTTCAGTATTTTACAAATTTAAAAACAAAAGGAAAACTTACATAGATGCTACATTTAAAACACCTTATTCAAATACATACATAAACTTACTCAAAACAAAATGTCATGCCATTGTATCTGTCTTAATGTTATTACAGTGCATCAATGGAAAGAAGAGGGACAAAAAACTAAAGAAGGGAAAGTCATATACAAATTCAGGAGTGGTGAGTTTACAAGTATATTTGCACTGTTAATATGTTGAACACAGTGTGACATAACAACTGCTTCTCTTATGTTGAGTCAGCGAAATGATCTGAACATGATGGAACCTGACATATGGCTTTAACGTCGAAACATTAATCTTTTAAGCTGATTTTATCACAAATTCAGTTTCAAAATGGTTTTAACTGTACAAGAAAATTGTGATCAAGAATTTTTTATTGAACACTGTGAACTATTTGGTTGTTGGGCTTGTTCAGTGGTATATGAAAATGATAGAATTCTCATTTATAATTGTTTTTTGTAAGACATAAAAAAATGTTGCATCCACATTTCTGACTAATGATGTCATAAGAATGGTTCATATATATCATGTTTTTTGTGTAATAAGGTTTTGCATCAGATATGCCATAACATTATAATTCCTTTTTTTGAAGCACATAGTTTGCATAATCTTATCTCAAGTCTCAAGTTAATATGTGAACCACTGTTTGATATGGAAAGTTGATTGACTTGTAATTAAAAAGAAGACAATGAGACAACTTTCCATAAAAAGACCAATGGCCCAAGTGTATATCAGTTAGTTTTAAAAAGATTATTACAATGGTAAGAATTATATATTTTCAGATAGAATTAATGAGTTGTAAAATGGAGAAAGTTTATACATTTTTGGATTATGTTAGAGGAGGGTAAGCTATTATACTCTTAATTATTTTTTTAATAAGTTAGGAAAATATATATTTCTATTATTTAATTTGCCATTCATACTTGTACATGCCTTAAATCTATCAAAATTTATAAGTCTGTTAATTTATATGGTGAATGAATTTTATCTGTTATTCAATTGCACTATATTTTGTAAATACATTCATACATTAGATAAATTGTCGAATTGCTGTCTTCAATCATTTGCTGTAAAACAGACTGAATACATATCTATCTATGGGCACAGTTTTTTGTAAATTCCTCAGTTTTGTCTATAACTGGACTTTGTATCTACATTTTGTATTACTATTACAGGACACAGTTAAACTGTTCATTTGCGGTAGATTTTACAGCTTCTAATGGGGATCCAAAATCTCCTTCATCTTTACATTACATGAATCCATACAGACCAAATTCATATCAAACAGCACTTAGATCTGTTGGGGAAATAATTAAAGATTATGATAGGTAAGTATAAAGTTTCCACAAATAAAGATATGTTGTCTGTATATAGAAATGAATTGTATTTGTGATAAATTGAAAAAAAATATGTTTTTATATTAAATACCTTTATCTTTTATTGATGCAGAAATATAAAGAAATACTTTAGGCTTTAAGCATATTAAATGATGGAAAATTATTGGATTAAGTTTAGTAACATCACTTTATATGATATGGATATACTGCATATGTAGAAATTTTAATGCAGGGGATATATTCATCTATTTTACTTATGCCTTAATATTTTCTGCTTTTATGTGGTATTTGCTGTTTAGAATAGAAAATTGAAAGATCAGAAACTTATTAAAAAAATACCTGGAATATCTTTTCAAGTTATGAATTTGTAACAATAACAATGAAAATATCCATTTTACATGGTCAATTTTAAATATCCAACATATTTTCACATGACTTTAGATTTTATATTTTCAAAAAGGAATAAGCCTTTTTACGGTTATTGCAGCCATATTGAAAAGGGGCAGATTTTCATAATGGAAGTGAAAATGCTTTAAAAAATATGAGAAGACATCATTGAAATAGAACAGTTGCTTGGTAACATGCATAGGTTTTCCCAAAATTTCTAACTATTTCCAACTCTATCCAAAAAATCTGCCCCTATTCAATATGGCTGCAGTAACCATGAAGTGGCCTATTGATATTCTATTAGTCTCACAATTGACCTAGACTTGATATTGCATGTATGTTTTGATTTTTTTCAGTGATAAATTATTTCCAGTCCTTGGTTTTGGTGCTCGTCTACCTCCAGATGGCGTTGTTTCTCATGAATTTGCATTAGTAAGTTGATAATATTTTTATGTTTGATGTAAGAAAAACTGATGAGGGATGCATACTGTAAATTCAGAAATTTTTGCATGCATATATATTATTGCGATTTTTAAACAATTGACAAAAATGTGAGGTGAATTATTTGGATTTCAGAAAATTATACGGACAAAAAAGCAATCATAATTTAGAATGCCAATTTTCATTTTTGCAAAATCTATCCTGTCGCAATTTTAGCAATTAGTATCTTCATTTATAGCTCACCTGGCCCAAAGACGAAAATAATAAACGTTATAATTTCATATGAATTTTTTCATGCATTAGACTATTACATATATAAAAATATGAAGCAATATTTTTTTTTTCAGAATGGTAACCCAAATAATCCTTACTGTACAGGTATAGAAGGTGTTTTAGAAGCTTACAATAAAGCCTTACATTCAATACAGTTATATGGTCCTACGAACTTTGCTCCATGTATCAATCATGTGTCCAGGTAAGTTCCATTATGAAGTACAGTTGACTATGTTTTGTCCAAATCTTGAATAATCAGAAAATGTAGTACAAGCTTGACTTTTGTATTAAAAAGAGAAACAGAGAAAAGTTTTGCTTTCTGAAAAGGAATACCTCTTTTAACGAAATTGAATCCCTGAAGGGTTTTGTTCAGCCAGATTTTACTGTAGTTTCTTATATTGTTTACATTGTATATCACATAATAGATACATTCTGTTTAGTCAAAGACTCTAGCTGATGTTTTTAATATTTTTTGAATTACTCCAATCATCTACAAAAATAAAGTTAAAAAATTAATAGATTGATTTATTGATGTTTGCTTAACATCCAGTGGCAAATATTTCATGCATTTTCGGGACGAAAAATTTATAGACTCTAGGTTCCTAAAGGTTTAGTTGATTCCATTTTGTAAGCAGTTCGTTGTTTTGTATGTGAAGAATATAGTGTATAAGTAAATTACAGTTATAAAAACAAAATTTTGATAAATAAGCAAAACAAAAGTACATTTGGTATACAGCTGCATTACCATCAACGCATCTCATCTATTCACAAAATATGAGGCCAACCCACTCAGTCATGCATTAGTTAATTTAAAAATTATGTTTAAAAACTTTAATTAACTTTATTTTGTGTTTTTTTATGAAAAACTATCTATGATAAAAAATTGATATACAGTATGATTGTACATTATCATCTATACTCATTTTCACTCAGAAAGTAGGTTTTCACCCCTTAGTAATATGTCAGACACTTTTGCAGTCCAAAAAGCAGAGGACAGTGTTTGAAACACATCTGTGTATTAACAGTTTTATTTATAACTATACCTTGCATTTGTTTGCAAAATTGGCATCGTGCACTTGATCTACTGATGTGTGACAAAAATTTTCAGTTACTTAACATAGGTGTTTGATTTTTCTGAGGCACTTCAGATTCTTCCAACACCTACTGTCATAAAATTTATTGTATTAATGTGTGAAAAGTGGCATTTATAACCAACAAAAATATCTATTTTAGGTTTGCTGAAGCTAAAGCAGGAGGAAGTGACTATTTTATTCTGCTCATTGTAACGGATGGTATTATTACTGACATGCCACAAACATGTGAAGCAATAGTTCATGTAAGTGTTTACATAAGTGTCATCTACCATTTAAAGACAATTTTAAAATTTTAAAACATAACTTTCTGTAATCATTCTATATAATTGCTATTTAACAGATGAAAATGTAGAAATGGTACAAATTGTAGTGATAGAATCTTGAAATGATGTTTTATATGTAGGTAGAACTCTTATTATCTACCAAAAAATGTAGTGTTTTATTGTGAGATCATCGTACTTAGTTAATTTCTATGATGGGCAGAGGCTTTACATGGGCAAAACAAGAAAAGAAAAACAAAATTTGATGTTGTTATGAAATTTGACCAATTAAGAGAAGAGAACAAGCCTTTTTACATCCATGAAAAACTTCTTGACATGTATTTTTGAAAAGTTTAAAAACAAATTTATTGTCTATTCATATATCTTACATAAAATTTAACAATGCACACATTAAAATTTGAATGTTATTACTGAAGTTATGCAAACAACATGAAATTAGAAAAATCGATCAGGCAAATAAGAAATAATTGTAATAAACTACATGGTTGTTATTTCAGGCTGCTAGTCTTCCAATGTCCATAATTATTGTTGGTGTAGGTGATGCTGATTTTGAAGGTTAGTTTATACAGATTTAAGAATTTTTAAATGAACATGGTTCATTTAGAAATTGAAAAAAAGGGATTCAGTTGTAAAATTGATATACCCTTGATTTATCTGTTTTTTTTTGTTGGTTTAGGATAATTGAATTTGCAGTTTTTGTCTCACTAGCAACAGAATGTGAGACAAAGGGATTACAATCAGGTGGCGTTAACAAAGTTAACCTTTTTGAATAAAGCATAATATTTCAGAAGGTAAAAGACCTGGATGCTTCATACCTTGTATGCAGATACCTTATGTTACAAAGCTTCTGTCTGTCATATGTCCATTGACCTTGACTGCTTTTTCATGGTTCAGTGAATGCTTGAAAAAAATGTCAACAAATCTTAGTACCCATCAAATTTTAGTGAATCCACTGAATTGATATTATTACTAAGAGCTTTTAAATTTTTGTGGCATTGGAGTCCAAAATAGATGATGGAATTTGTGGTCGCTTGCAAGTTTCAGAGCTTTGAGATGTCATCTTTCATGTTTTTTTTCTGATTCAATCAGGAATTCTTTGAACGTATACCACATTGATATGTCTGCAAATTAATTTGGAATATTGTTGTTTAATACTGTGCATTAGTGATAATAGTATTTTTATATCATTTTAGCAATGGATATTCTAGATGGAGATGATGTAAGGTTATCATCAAGAGGAAAACATGCTGAAAGAGATATTGTGCAGGTAAAATATAGGTTGTCAGTCTTTCCTAACTAATAAATAACTGAATAATTGATAATGTAATGACGATAACTTATTGTTCACTGATCATTAAAATAATAAATGATGAGACAATCAACTTAAAACAATTTTGGTCAGTGTAAAGCAGGATATTTTCATGACATTGTTATTGTCTTGCCTGCAACACAATTCACAGAACGCTAGACACAGGGATTACAAGAGAGCAGCGGCAAAGGTGTCAACAATGGTGGCAGTGTAAGCTATTTGTATAAGGCTTTATATTTCAAGGGATAAAGGACCTGGATGCTTCACACCTAGTATACAGATGTGTTATGTTACAAAGTTTTAGTCTGTCATATGTCCATTGCCCTTGACCTCATTCTCATGGTCAGGGGATTGCTTAAAGAAAGGCTGTCTGGCAGGTTTTGTCTGACCTTGACCTCTTGTTAATGGTTCATTGGTCAATGTTAAGTTTTTTGGCTTTAGTGCATTTCTCAGATACTGTAAGCAAGAGGTCAACTATATTTAATGTATTGAATGGTTGTAATGTGTCATGATATCAGCCAAAGAGCTGAAGACTTGAGGTTTGATATAGACTCTGGGCATACATCTTATATAAAAAATGACTCTTCATATGTTTTTCCTTCATATATTTCCACACAGAAAAAATATTATTTTGAGTAAAAATGTTTGACTTGAAAAAATATCAATTACAACAATTCAAATTTACTGTAAGTCAACAGCATATGCAGTTGGTAATGTTTAATCACATTTAAGATAAATTAAACTATATAATCAGATGTCCTTTCATTTTCTAGGGATTTTAAACTGATATTTTTGTATGACAAGAATTTATTTATAAATTTAAGACAGACCTGTTAATCGGACTCCTTAAAAAAAGATAGTCATAATCACAGTTTGAATTATTGCTGTCAAATTTTAAATTTTATGCTTCAAATATACCTTGTAATTATCATTTCAGTTTGTTCCAATGAGAAATTTTACTGGTCGTCAAGGAGACAGTCCTGCAGCTCTTCAGGCTATGTTGGCTAAGGAGGTACTAGAAGAAATTCCTGACCAGTTCTTGTCGTACATGAAAACACGCAACATCAAACCGAAACCACCACTACAGAGGCAACTGACAATATCATCAGTCACATCTCTTCCAGCATCCGAGCAATGATTTAGACTTTTGTAAAAAAAAAATCCAGGTCAATGAAATAGATCTTAAAATGTTCGTTATATATTGAAGTATCATATAAATAGTGCTGGTCCTGATTTAGTGCCATTTGATCTTGATCCCTCTCATATTAGTTCAGATGGTGGTGATTTGCAACTAAGATAATATAATATGATTTTGAAGGGATGAAAAAAATATGTTTTTATTGTAATGCATGAATTATAGTCTATAGTCATATTTAAGTGAGCATATTTGAAAAAAATTCAAGGCGAAAATTTACAAAATAAGGTTGTCACATATTAGTTGTTTAAATATCTAATGCAGACTACTAATATTGTATTTTCATTAAATTATTTACAATGACATGGGCAATTTTTCCCCCTTTCAATTATTTTTTACTTTTTTAATCTACTAATATATGTGGGGTATATGTCAATGAAACAACACAAAAAAAATCCAAAAGACATTTTTAATTACATTTTGTTATAAAATTAATATTATAGATATTATAATAAATGAAATGAATATTATTATAAATATAATAAGAAATATTGTTATTTATTTATTTAGTCCTATTTAAAGTATATGAACTGTATGGTGCATCAAATCATCTCTATTGATAGAGAAATGAAGTATAAAATGGATCTGTAGATCAGTCAATGATATTTTTTGCAATTTTCTAAATATTATTTATGTGCTAAGTTTTTGTTATAAGTTAGTTACATAGGTCACATATATGTAGACTAAAAAGGTGCATATTTGTAATAGAATTGTCATTTAAAAGAACAATCTTAATAGGTGTGCCAAATAATAATGTAAATTTGTACAGTTTTTGAATATGACAAGAATTGTGAACAGATAACCAAGAATTAGATGTTTGTTTGTCGATTTCCTTAGAGTTTCCTGTTTTGTAATATAAGATCATTTGAATATTATCATGTGTAAGCACTTATTGGTAAGACAGTGTTTTAGAGTACCTATTTCCTTGTCAACTAGGAGCAAGTTTAGGAAAAGTGAAAGTACTGAAAAATCACAGCAAATGTTGATTTTTGAAATTTTAATTATTTAGCTGTGAGAAGGAATAAATTGACTCTACATGGAAACGACAGTCAGCAGTATGAATTTTGAGAAAGTTCAGAACAATGACCTATAAATTAAATAGCTTTTTAAAATGTTTTAGGGCATTTCTTGTAGTCTCAGTTAATAAAAATTATATATTTCTTTAAAGGGGCATAAGCTACAATTTACACCAAAAAATAGAATATGATTCCATTTTGTTTCAAGTATTCATAAAAGTGGAATTTTTATATAAAATTCGTTACAAGCAGTCAGTTTGGCTCAATTATTAAAACTTGCAAGTCAATAATTTAACCTCTTTGAATCTGTATTCATGTGACCTTCAGTTTAACCCCTTAGCTGGAGATTCGTTACGCATGTACTTGGTGTGTTCAATTGTCAAAAGGAAAAGAATGTCAAAATTGAAAGTGAAACAAGTGTAAACCATTTTGTTGTCTAATTCAATCCACAAAAAAAATCAATCAATGATTAAAGTATTTTCTAACCTATAACATGAAATCAAACAGACCTAGAAAAAACCAATTGCACGTGATGGATATCTATTTATATTTATATCTATATCAGGTTATATGACCGTTGGCAGTCTTCAGAGGTCATCTCGAAGGTTAAGATGGTGTCTAGACTAAAATACACACGTTATACATGTAATCAAGTCCATCATCGTTAATTGTTTATTTCAGACTGTTCGTAATTTGTATATACCAGACTGTTCGTAATTTGTATATACGTTTTAGTATGTTATTAATCAAATATGAAAATTTGAGTCAAAATTGGTGAACATGAATTTGACAGCTAATGCCCCTTTAGCATTATATTTGTGTATAAATTGTATAGAAAATTTTTAATCCTAGATGAATTTGCGTAAAATTTTGATACTATTTTACATTTAACAAACTAAAACTTTAATAAATGTATAAACTTTGAATGAAAGCATAAGTTTCTTATAACAAATTATAATTATTATCCAAAATCTTTCATCATGCTATGCTACTATTGTGTTAAAAAAGAAATCAGTTTTGTAAATATGATGTGTCAATGATTAATAAGGTTATTGTGTGTTAATTTTTCAAAATATTTTATAAAACTCATATTGATGTACTGTGTGTCCTTTGTTTAAATCTGCTGATTTAATTATTCACTTTACAATAATCAATGAATAATTGGAAATGGGTTGATTTTTATACCATCAACTAATTTCTAGATAGTATTTACCATACAAACAAGCCCTTATTAAATTACCCGGTCATTAAACAGCTACTAACAAAGGTTGTTAGGTTGGCAGACAACTGAGTTTTACCTATTCTTCAGACATCAATCAAACTTTTTGAAGTTGTTTCTCATGTTTAAATGGTAATTTAAGGAATTTATGATTGAGTTTGTCAAAACAATGTCCAGACTGAAATATATATTAATAAGGATTTGAAGTGAAAAATAAGCAAAAACATGTTACTAACATAGGCCCAAAAATAGAGCATGTGCAAAGGTATGCTTATCTTAATCAGTATTTACTGAAAAAAGAATGTGAAAAAATTGAGGAACCTTGACAAAAATTTTCACAGATTTCATAGATTCCGTCTCTGTTCCAAGGGTAATCACTTTTAAGTCAACATCTGGTATATAAAAGTAATAATAAAAAATGCAGAACCTCCCCATCAAAATACAAGCTACAGTCAGTTTACAGAACCAATGACTTAATTCAAATTAATCGATTTCATTTGTTTTGTCTAAATTTCTTGCCTGGATTCCCCGGTGGTTACTTTTGTTGAGTTGAATGTCTTAAGTTATGAATACAAAAGAACTTAAAAAAATGGAATTTAAAAAAAGTGACTGCCTGACTCAAGTTATTTTTTTGAAACCCTGTTATGTATGTTGATATTTGTTTGTTCCTACCTCTTTACTTACACAATTATAGAGAATCAGTTTTCTAATTTTGTATTCTTATTTGTTCTTTATTGTAAAAGGACCAAATTTAATTTATTCATACACCATTTCATTTCTGTGTTATAGTTTTAGTTTCTTTTTTTCAACTCGTAACATTTAGGTTTTGAATTCGCAAGCATTTTGTCTTCCAGCTTCACTGAATATACCTCATTTGTTGAAGTGTGCATCTGTTGCATTTAAATGAATGCTTTTTAAAGACGGTTAGAATGGGGTAGCCTACATGACAATTTTTTTAAAATTCCTTTTAAAATAACATAAACAATGAACAGTTTTATCATTTTGATGCTTACTGTAGCTCAAAAATACAATCCGATGCATGATGATAAAATTTTAGGCTTTTAGGTTAATCGTATTGAAAATGAGGTATTTGACTCTTGACTATAAAGGCTATTTTTAGCCTCTTTAAAAATGTTATCAGTAATATATCATTAGTATTTATATCAGCTGTTAAACAGGTTGTTAATTTTTATAATGAGTCACACATGGTGGTGAATTTCATGGCATATGCAATGTTGTTATGACTGTTACTTAAAGCTTTATCAAAAGTGATGTTTTTACAGTTACGGTTTCAGAATATTAATCTTACACTTTAAAGGGCATTGTGATCATTGTAGATTAAATGCTATGTAAGTGTGAAAAAAATACCAATATTTTTCCAGAAATCATTTTTCAATAGCTAAATTTCATTTTTCAAAATAATAACAATAAGATTATTAATGTTAGGGAAAGATATTGACATTTGGCAGAAAAGCTAGCAATTGTAGTGAAGAATGGAAGATGAGCTCTTAGAAAATATTTATTTGTAGTAAGGTGTGTAGTGAATGGGAACCTTTCTAATTATGTCACTCTTCTAATTAATATTATTGTTTTGTTTATGTTAGTTCCTTTGTATTTGTTTCACATTCCAATTTCCAAGGTTGTACCTAGCTTTTTTCCACGTCAAATGAAAATTTAATTAACCATTTTAATTTTCGGTTGGATTTTATGTAGTGCAATGCCAAATTTCAATTTTAATTGATTTTATTCAGGGGAAAGGGGCTCTTATTATTTGTAGTCAATAATATGAAGGACTTAAAACTAAGAACATCCATGACACTTTTCAGTATTTTATTTGTTTGTTGGGGGTTTAATGCATCTCTTTATAGATTCCCTCTATTTCATGGCTGTCAGTTTTATATTGCTAACTTATTGATGGTTTGTCAAAAAAAAGAAGAAAAAATGGCTTGTGATTGAGTTTGTCAGTAAATTTAGTGTACTGTGTTAGTGTGACAACTAACTGGAGAAAGACTTTTAAAACACCTTCCAAAGTGGTGATTGTCAGATGTAATCAGTTAACTACTTTGATTATATAGCTAGACAACCATTGTGAAATCCACTGTCTTGGTAAAGATTTTTTTTTTTAAATATTATTTTTTAAGGTTGTAGAGAAAGTCATATCATTTTAAACAGTGTTGTAATAGACTAGATTGATTATTAGGCTTGATACAACTTTTTAGATTCCTAAATTTCAGATGATATTTTGGTTATCAAACTGCTATTCGTAAACAAATAAAGACTAGCATTCACAAATATGTAACAATACGCAATACATCATAATCTATTTTTGGAAGCACTCATTTACAGTGAAACTTTTTTTTTTCTGAACAGAATTTATTAGGACTAACAATGTTGTCCATATTAGACAGGTGGTCAGATCATGTCAGAAATAATATAAAAAAGATGTTTTTAGACATGTTTTTGGTAAACATGCAAGTTTTAGTTTAAACAGGTTTGGTTGTATATCTATTTGAAGAACCATGCTTTTACTACATGTATAAGCATAAATTTAAACTACATATACTAATGTAGATCCAATTATTCAGATTTACAGCTTAGAGTTATTAAAGATTTTTGAAATAAAATCATATTCCTTTATTACTTCGTGAAGTTTGAATGTCAAACTTTAGTACTGTTTGTAGATGTTATTTATATCCACTCCATAATGCTCATCAATTCCTTTTATTAAAATAGTGTCCATTGTTATCAGTTGTGTGATTCACTATTGTAGAATATTTACCCTTATACTGTTGAATATCCTTATATTTTATTTGATTGTGTTACATTACCATACAATATTTACCCGTATACTGTTGAATATCATTGTATTGTTTTTATCTGTACAATATTTTAATAAAGTATACCAAAATATTGTGGAAATTTGTATTTTGTGCTTCTTCTTAGGGCATTTTAATCAAAAGCCAGCTTTTCAGATTGACAAAAATAAGGAGATGTGGTATGATAGCTAAAGAGTCAACTATCTATTAAAGACCATTTGGTGTAGCAGCAAAGCATCCACAGGATATAGAGACAATTTTGAAGTGTTGTATAAATCTTTTCCGGTTGGAAAAAACAGAAATACTCAGCACAAGCTTTGGAAGTGGGATGTGATTTATCTTTATAAATTCCCATGTAAATCAAGTATTTCATACTATATCTTTGATGTAGCCTGATCAACAGGAAATCTTCCACATCTGGAAACTGATATCTCTTGAAAGAATTCCTCTGTAAGTACAAAGCATCAAAACTGACCATGAAATTGCTAGACCAGGGACCAATTTCACAAAAAATTAGAAAATATACTCATTTAAGTCATGAATATTTAAGTATAACTTGCGATCTATTTCAATCATAATTGAGAAGAGCAACAAGAATATATAATGTTTTAAAATTTCAACTTTACCCGTGTTTTTTTTATTTTTTCATAGCTTTATTTTAAATATCTAATAATTATATTGTTGCTTTCAAATTTATTAAATTTTTTTGTACTATTTGCAGAACCATGAAAATGAGGTCAAGGTCAGATGAAACCTGCAAGTGGGACATGTACACCTCAAAATCATTCCATACATCAAATATAGTTGACTTATAGTTTAAAGTGTCTGTGATACATACTTGTCTACAGTCAGAATGTTTTTATCAAGCAGTTTCTAACCAATGAAAATGTGGTCAAGGATAATGGACATATGACAGACAGAAACTTTTTAACATAAGAAACCTGCATGCAAGATATGAATCATTCTGGTCTTCTTCCTTCTAAAAAATAAGCTTTATACAAATAGTTTACACAGCTGCTGGATAGTAATTCCTTTTTTATGCATTCTATGACTGTTGCAGGTGAGACAAAAACAAGAATGCACATGGTACATACCCATAATTGTAATTTAAAATACTTGTACAATGAAACGGTAAACAGGAAGATGTTGTCTGACAGATCTGAAAAGTGCTCAACTACTACAACTCATCGATGTCAACCTGCTAACTAAATATGAAGTCATTCTGTTTAGTAGTTTCTGAGAAAAGAGTGATGAAAAAATTTGTTGGAAGGACAGATGAACAGGGAAAATAACGCAAATATAAATTGTCTCAAATCTGTAAAACTAGGATCATTTCTTGTTTAACTACATCAGTAAATCTGAAAATCATGAAATTAAATCACTGCCTAGTCGGCTAGAAATGGGCAAATACAAAATAAAATATCACGAAAATAAGTTAATTTACAGTATTGTTTTTCTCAAGAAGATGTCCTAGATCATGTTCACTACTAATTTAAATATAAATAAGAAGATGTGGTATGAGTGCCAATGAGACAACTATCCATCCAAGTCACAATGTGTAAAAAGTAAACAATTATAGGTCAAAGTACGGCCTTTAACACAGAGCCTTGGCTCACACTGAACAGCAAGCTATAAAGGGCCCCAAAATGACAAGAGTAAAACAATTCAAACAGGAAAACCAATGGTCTAATCTATATAAAAAATGAGAAACATACACATTTATGAACCACACCAACAAACGACAACCACTGAACAACAGGCTCCCGACTTAGGATAGGTGCAAAACAATGCAGCAGGTTTAAACGTTTTAACAGGCGCCAACCTTCACCCTAACATGAAATAATGGTGTAACATTACAGTATAAAAAGACACACAATAAAATATCAATTGAAATGGCTTAAACACTGTATGTAAAAACAAGACTGATATATTTATTGCACATATATCATGATTTCAATTTAAATATCAAAGATGTCACTGTATTTCCAGTTTTTCCACCAAATTGGAAACTTGGAGTCTTTATCTTGTCATGCAGCTTGAAATCTAAAAAAAAAAAAATTGTACGAGTCATTATAGGAAGACAATTATTGAAAATCTACATTGAGACCACTAATTTCAGATCTTAAACTTTGCACATGCAGATTGATCTTCTTATTTAATATGTTGTTTCACCATAGATGACTGGTACATTCAAAAGTCAAAAAAGATGAAGTTATTTTAATGAAATATATTTCTTCTGTAACTATCATTCATCTGACTAAAAAGAGGTGTGGTATCTATGAGTCAACTATCATTCAAAAAAATGTTAGATGATAGAACATTATGCATGATTACCAAAAAGTCTTTTTCAATTTTTCATGTTTGAAAAAAAAGTTAATGTCTATACAGACTTAATGAAATATCTGTTGGACCAAGAACCCTGCCTTTTAACTTGTTCTTTTATGTTTAATAAAATGCTTCGCCGAGCGCAGCCTGATACAATCGCAGAGGTCTAACCCTGAACAGTTGGGGCAAGTTTGAACACAATATTCAAGCTTCGATACTGTCTGAATTTGGATTGTGATCAAATTTTTGACATAATATAGGTTTCTGACACAAAATAAATGTGGTCAAAGATCTTAAAAATTTGTAATGGGACATTTAATTTACCTAGTATGGTCTGATATCCAAAATCTAACAACATGGTTAGATTCAGCATATAAAAAACACCAAAAATTTAATTTTAGTTGAAATCAAACAAAGTTTAATTTTGGACCCTTCAAAACTTAATATGGACTAATATGAAAACAGGGCCCAAAATAGAAAATCTATATGCACAATAAGATTCAGCATATCATAGAGCCGCAATAATTCAGTTTTTGATGAAATCAAACAAAGTTTAATTTTGGACCCTTTGGATCTCAATGTAGACCAATTTAAAAATGGGGCCCAATAACCAAAATAGTAATACAAGGTTAGAACCCCCAAAAATTAAAGACTTAATTTAATCCCATTGAAATTGGTTAAAAGATTTGTATTTATTTTCAATTGAAGATTTCTTGCTATTGCGCAATACTGTGCTGTTGCACAATACTTAATCTGTTATATATAATAATTTACACACCATTTGGTGTGTATCTCCTGCCATATCAGTATTTGTTGCTTTTATATATAAATCAGAAACAAGAGTGCACACGCTGAAATGTCTCTCCTGTTTTACTGACCATTGATTTTATGTTGAAAGTCTTAAAGATAAAGATTTTACTACAAGTATCACATAAACTTAACATTTTTAAAGATCCATGACAATGAGGTCAGGGTCAGATAAAAAATGTACACCTTACAATTTATTCCATACACCAAATATAGTTGACCCATTGCTTATGGTAAAAACACAAAAACTTAATGTTAACCAATGAACCATGGAAATGAGGTCAAGGTCAGAACATACTGGCTAGACAGGCATGTAAACCTTACAATCATTCCATACACCAATTATAGTTGACCTATTGCTATTAGTATTTGAAAAACAGACCAAAACACAAAAACTTAACATTGACCAATGAATCATGAAAATGAGGTCAAGGTCAGATGACACCAGCTAGACAGACATGTACACCTAACAATCATTCCATAAACCAAATATAGTTGACCTATTGTTTATAGTACTTGAAAAACAGACCAAAACATAAAAACTTAACATTGACCAATGAACCATTAAAATGAGGTCAAGGTCAGATGACACTAGCTAGACAGACATGTACACCTTACAATCAATCCATACACCAAATATAGTTGACCTATTGCTTACAATACTTGAAAAACAGACCAAAACACAAAAAATTAACAATGACCAATGAACCATGAAAATGAGGTCAAGGTCAGATGAAACCTGCCAGTCTGACATGTTCCCCATACAATCATTCCATACACCACATATAGCTGACCTGTGACTTGTAGTATCTAAGAAATGGACCTTATCACATAACTTTAACCTTGATCACTGATCCATGAATTGAGGTCGAGGTCAGGTTAACCCTGTCTGATGGACATGTAGACGATGCAAGGAACCCATATACTATTACTCATAATAAGTGAGAAATTCACATGACAAAAAAACTGTAATTTTTTTTCAAGTAGCCACTGAACCATGAAAATGAGGTCAAGGACAATGGGCATATGACAGACGGAAACTTCGTAACATAAAGTATCTGCATACAAGGTATGAAGCATCCAGGTCTTTTACCTTCTGAAATATAAAGCTTTATACAAATAGTTTACGCCGCCGCCAGATAGTAATACCTATGTCTTGCGTACTGCGACTTTCGTCGCAGTCGGGACAATAATCAATGTAAAATGGAAAATTTTTGGGAAAAAAAATCCCCCCAAAAAATTTGTCCCCCATCTCAAAAAAAATCAGAAATTTTGAAGAATAAAAAATATGAACCCCCAAAATAAAATTTGAAAAAAAAATGCCCCCCCCCCCCCATTTTTTTTTGAAATTTTGAAGTTTTTTTTCTTTTCAGGAAAAATATACAATTTCAGAAAGTTCCATAAATTTTAACAGAAGTTATTTTCTGGAAACTAGAAAAATGCTTGTTTTTGGCCACTTTTTTGCCCCTAATTCCTGAACGTTTGGGGCAATTACCCCCAAACTCAATCCCAGCCTTCCCTTTGTGATATGGAACCTTGTGGTACAATTTCAGAGAGATCCATACACTTACACACAAGTTATTGTCCGGAAACTACAAAAATGCTTGTTTTTGGCCACTTGTTGGCCCCTAATTCCTAAACTGTTTGTACCATAACCTCCAAAATCAATCCCAACCTTCCTTTTGTGGTATTGAACCTTCTGGTCAAATTTCATAGAGATCCATTCACTTAAACTAAAGTTATTGTCCGGAAACCAAATGTTTGTTCGGACGACGACGACGATAGCATCATACGAACGCAAATTTTTTGCGGATGTACAAAAAATTATATATTTACACATGTATAGATACAAGAAAATAACGCCAAACACTTACTGATTCAATGATATTTATGGGATACCAATTTTCACATATTTTGTTGGTAAAGCTGAACCACAAATTCAAATGTTCAACATATACAAATT